TCTCTTTTACTTTTCTTTGAGGGGCCCAGCAAAGTTCTGTTACATGCTAGGTTCCAGGAAACCTAAACTGTGTCCATTTGGAAGGCCTTACAAAAAACATTCTAATTTCGTGGGTCTCTTTAGCTACAGAATGTGGGTAATCACTCAGCAAGTAATGGTTGAGCTTTTCCTTCTTCATTTTAGGTATAGTCTTGGTACTGGAGGTAGATTAAATAACAGATGAAGCTTCAGGTATTGGAAGAAAAAAGTAACACATAAGCAAGATAATTTCTGATATCTCTAAGTGCTATCAAGAGAGCAAAAATATGGAATGTGGCTGAAAGGCTGTGACTGGTAAAAGCAACATTAAATCTTGTGAACAGAAACATTGTCTAACAGGATAGTAGCATCTTAACTGAGACCCAGATAAGGATAAAACCAAGGGGTAAGTGGATAAAACATGTCCTGGGTTCTAAAGCAGAAATATGGTTGAGGAATAAACCCACAAGGAAGGTCAAAGTGGGTCTTTAGGGTGTGTCATAGCTCACCTCAGGAGTGCATGTAAGGTCTCCACCTGTGTATTGCTCTGCAGTTTGTGTTCCTCAAAGATGACTATCAAACACCAGACCTCAAGGGAGGAATTAAACATTAGGTTTTTTCAGACAGATAGTTGCTAAGGTATAAGAATGAATCACTCATTCAGGATAAGTACCAAAGTATTTGAGCCTTCTTGGAGACTTAAAACCTTAATGGTAGTCATTCCTAAAAGGCTGTTCTAGAAGTAGTTGGAGAGTTCTATACAAATGAGTAAGGATCCTAACCTTATTAAATTCACTGAGGTGACAAAAAAAAGTTCCTGACTTCAGACTCAATTAATTTCTTAACAGTTCATTTTTTAAAACAATGAAAAAATTTTTTATGTATTAAATAAACATCTACAAAACACTTTCTTCTTATGAGCTACACACCATTAGTTCTACAAATAGTAAATATTTTAAGCTTACAATCAGCTCCATGGAATGGGAAGTATGATTATGTCTATTTCACTTGTAAGAAAAAGGAATCAGAGAGGATGTATGAAAATTAATGAACTAATGCAAAACGTTGCTTTAATTTTCTAAAGCAAACAAGAGAGCAGTAATGTTTTCTGTGGGCACAAAAGACTGTGTGTTTTGAAAAATCAGTATTTAGTCATAATTTCTTTTAAATTTTTATTAGTTCTTTTAACAGTTTCATACACAGTATTTTAATACCCACTTCTTAATGTTGGAAAAGTAGCTTATTGTAAGTGTCATATAAGACATTTATAACACATTCAAAGGCTATTCTTGAAAGGATTGTTCAATATCAACTTAAATTCCGTTTGAGTGTATTTAAAAAAACATATTGATCAGCTTTAAGCTCTATTATGTGTTTCATTAAGACATACATTTCCAAAGTTTACTTTCTAGTGCAGTGAGAAACATTCCTGTTCCCAGCAATTAATGACTGGCACAGATGACTCTGTCTTAGCAGGTCAATGAACAGTAATTATCAGAGAAGGAAGCTGGTCTGTTAGGCCATTGCTGAGACCTCAGCCTGACTGTGTCTCTCTCATTCACAGAACAGAGACTTTCCATAACCACAGAGCAAAGGATGCCATGCTACAGCAGCAAATATTTGTTAAAACATAGGGTGTAATAATAGCAGGTTCTTAAAGAAAGCACTGAGTAATTGAGTATTAATTAGAAGCGAATGAAATGAAATCATACGGCTCTAGTTTGCCAAAGACATTACCTGTGTGTCAAAAGAAGTGTTTGTGACCAGCATGCTGGGACTGCATGCCAATGATTTGAGCAGGTGGTCATTAGGGGCTTTTCCTGCAAGCCAAATAATTTTCTCCCTGAGTAGCTTGGTGAGGTCCAGGCCCTAATTTCTCCCTGAATTAAAAATTATTCCACTCCAAATTGCTAAAGTACCTGTCCATTATGTGGAGAAAGTGTATGACAGAGCTTTCTCAGACTGGGAAGGATTTACTGCACTCATAATCTTTCAGTCTGTCTTATTGAATAAACTCAGAATATCTGCTTTATTGATTCAATTTGAAATCTCTGTTAGGTGCCTTCTTTCTTCCTTACAAACAGTATAATTGAAAGCATTGTTTTGGTAGACTCTTCTAAGAAGACCACATAATCACCGTTTAAATTAGTCCTAATTCATTTTACATTTGCTTATTTTACTTTCCCAGAACTAATTTTTTTTAACAATTAGAACATCTGAATTTTAATTACATTACCATCAAGAAGCTCATTAAAGTCACTTAATTGGCAACATTTCCAAAAAAACCTTAGCTGGGTTTAATATATTTTAAAGAGTTACTGTCAAAGTATAATTTCACCATTACAAACAGCTTGGCAACAACATTTGCATAAAGATCTGTCAGCTTCTGAAAAAATGCTTAAATGTTGGGAAAATCAGATTCGTTAAGTCGCCTTTCCTGAAACAGCCTACAAATGGAGAAATTGTCACATACACTCATCCTTATAACCCCTGAAGTACACACACCATGCCAACACAGGGAGTCAGGAAATGTTCCCTGAAGGAAATAAATGACACACTTTGTAATCTGAGGTAGAGATATAAAAAACATTAAAATGTCAGTAGAAGTTCCTTACTTGTGATAAGTTTAACCAAATTTCTCATGTGCCTGCTTCTGCTTCCTCACTCTCTCTAAGAACCATTAGATTATCATTTAAAACTTTGAAAGTTTTCTAAGTAGTTCTGTGGCCCGTACCACAGGGTAATCTTTTGGTTGTGATAGGTGTATACCTTGTATTTGCAGTTTGTAATATTAGGACTTCCCCCTCCAAATACATCCAAGAGTATAATAATGTTAAAAAATAGAAATGTTAGCAAGCTAGTTCTTAAAAGAAAAGAGATGTAGTGTTCTAGGGGCATCCATTTAATTTGGTGTTTTTAACCTAAAACAGCTCCCTTTTGTCCTTTTCTGACATTCTATCCTCCAACTCCAAAGAAGAATCTAGTAAAGCAGAACAAAATGTAAACACTAAAGGATTTCGAGTCAAATCGCTGCCTTTCCCTCCTCAGTGTATTGCAATGTCTGGTATACAGCCAGGTTCAACAAATGTCTGTTGAATGAACCTGTTAATGAATGAACATACATAGTGAAGCTCTGAGGAGGACCTAGATGTTTCTGCCCAGGGGCTCCAGCTTGGCTCCATCAAGGGCAATGTAGAAAACCTCAATCTCCCATGAGTGTAGAGCTGTGCACTTAATAAACTCTTGGTGAGTTTTCTTTGTTAATATGTTGTAGGACTCAGGCCATGGAGATCACTCTAGGATATGGCTGTTCACTAGTGCTTTCTCTGGTGATGTAACTACCCTATATCAACTACTATTCCACAGTGCTAGTATGGTTAAAGTGCTATATTTTAATTGCATTTAATTTTAATTCACTTAAGTTAAGATAGCCACAAATGGTTAGTGGCTACAGTAGACTTCTACAGTGTGTAGAGATGTGGAGGAATATGGTATATTGGAAGAAATTCAATTCTTATGAAGGTTGGTGACTGGAGAAAGGCTTAGAAAAACACACATGTGAAAGATTGTCCAAGGCTTCATGTGATAGGCAGTTGAGTTTAAAGATTCATTTGTAGATGGGCAGAGTCCCTGGGGATTTCAAAGTAGAGAAACAGCCTGAATAGATTTGTCTTTTGACAGTTCTGTGAGGACAGAGACAAAGATCTGAGGCTCAAAGTCACTCTTTGTCTATTAATATAGGAATGGCTTGGCAAAGGCCACAAAAGTGTGAGGTTTGCCGATATGACCAAATTTCTGATAGACATCTTGTTTGTAATTCTTAGTGTACCACTAGGAAATACGTACTGGTTATTGTCTTCTCACAAGCAGACAAACACTGAGGGCTTCTGGGCTTTGCTTCAGAGTCTGTGCTGTGGAGAACTGAAATTAAGGGAGCATCATTCTCTGTGGCTCACAACGTCAACCACTTAGTACAGTGAGAAGAGACCTTCTGGATCTGTAAAGGTGCCTTCCAGATTCCCTACTACTCAGCTGGTCTATCATTGTTGGAGGCGAGACCATGGGGCCAGAGGGAGATGCATGTTTCAAAACAAGGTTGTAGAAAGGATTTGGGGTTGAGAAGTATCTGAAACAAAACCTAAAAAGTACTCTGATATGTGGACCTTATAACCATCTATTCCTTGCTTCGATTGGTTCTTCCAGATGTGGAAATGAGAGGAGGTTTTCAGACATGGAACCTTGTATTCAGAAAGAAAGACTTAAATTTGGGGTGCGGATAGACAACACAGAAAAGTCCAGAGCTGGGAAATATACCTTCTAGACATTGTCTTTGCAGATGCTTCCAGATTCATTTCTGAGTATCTCATGGTGTCCTGGTGTGGCTTTAAAAAAAAATCTGTGGAAATCACAGAGTTGGCAAACTGCCCGAAGTTTCTAATCGATGCTGGGCATTGTAGCATTCTATTCTTTGAAATGAGCTTTAGAGTATAAACCTCCAGGGAGACCTTACAGACGCAAAATTTCCTCCTTCAGATACTGTTGTCCATTTTATTTTTGTTAGTTTAATTTAGTAATTTATTAATCTGAGGCAGAGTTTATTACTAATTCTATAGGATTCAAAGTAATCACTTCCAGTTTTAATGTATTTCTTAAAAGGAACTTAAATTCAAAAGTTTCGCTTTATCCTCACCTAAAGCATTTGGAAATGCTGGAGAAATCTTTGGAATTAAGTAAATAAACATTTCTTAGCAGTACAGCAGAAAGTGCAGGCATCTCAGACTTGATTCGTTGAGTCAACTGAACTGTGCCTTTCTATACATTGTGCTATTTGTCCCAGTATTTGGGATTGTCATTACAGAAACCTCAAACTTCATCCAGTTTCTCCTCCTCTGTGACCATGTATCATGCATGTCTTTTTCCTATCAGGAGCATTTTTCACAATAGCACACATAGCATGAAATTAGTACACACAAACAACACACTATAACCTGAGCATCTGACTTTATTTCCACCAGAAATGAACAGGTGATAAAAGATTGTGTCCAAAGTGAGATGCGTGGCTCCCCTTTTCTCTTCTTTCACAGAGCATAAGAAAATGTAAACAATACAGAGCCTAAACTTCTGAGCCCTCCTAAATTTCTAGTGGCCTTTACAATATTCATGGTCTAAGTCGTTCATGGGAAGCCTTCAGACTGTCTTACACGCTAATACTTGCATTGGTTCAATCTGATAAAGAGAAGCATTGCTTGAGGAAGTGGGTCATATGGGTATATAAGTGATTCTGGGAGCGCCCAGATGATATGCCATGGTTCTGGTCAGAGTACCACTGCAACAGAAAGGGAAAAAAAGCAAAACGAGTATTATTCCTAGAGTTGAGAAACCCACCTAGCGTTGGTTGTCTTGTGCTCTAAAATCACAATAAGTTTCCTAATGTTTTTGGAAGATTGTTTTAGGAACCCTTGAATAAAATTGTTTGCATGTCAACATTTGGAGTAGGAAAATGTAGAAGAGTTCTTATTAATATCCAGTACTGTTTTGTATTCCATAACTGTAGGTTTTAGATTTTAAAGGATGAGCTGTTCTAATGGCCAGGAGCCTAGTAATTAGAATCAAGTCTTAGGTCCCAGAACTGGTGCATTAGGTCTCTTATTCTGGCTCTTGGGCACTTGGGTTTTTCATTTGAAAAGTAAAAGAACTGTATTTAATTTTTTCTAGGACCATGGTAGTTCAAAAATTCCATGACTTTTTTGGCCTGTAAATCTAATTCTCCTCTGTTTCAGAAAAAAAAAAAACATGTAGTATATCACATATAACCATACATACCCTCTACAGGACTTTAAAACATTGTTGTAAAGGGGAAAAAAAAGGAGGGGGTAATATAACTTTAACCTTCATTGTTGGACAATTCCAGTAAGATTATTGTCTTCATGGCATAAGTGGGACAAGGGTCATGATGTAATGCTATAAGTGTACTGAGCTGAATTTCTTTTAGGAAGTCAGAATAAACAAAGGCCACAAAAAAGATCTCATCTCACTTCTTGTAAAAGTCATTACATTTTAAAAATCCAAACTTCTAAAAGATGAGAGACTCCCTTCCTAGAGTCCTGTCCTATATGAGCAATTGAGGGAAAAATCTATTTACTGAGGTGAGGAGCACATGGCTACCAATGGCTGCCCCCACCAGTGATCTTACTGCCTCTTCTAATCTCATTTCACATTCTTCTTGCTACCTGGGACGCAAGTGCCAGACACTGAGCATATGCAGCGGAAACCAATTCTCTGACTCTGAATGGACCTGCAGGAACTCAGGGAGTCACTGAGATCCTAGGAACATTCTGCAATTGTTTCTTCCTGAATAGACAGAACCTGTTAGCTGTTCTGAGACTCCTAGGTTCTTTAGGAACTCTGGACATGTGCCTACACATATGCACCCAGGACTGCAGAACTATTATATATGTGGGCTGTTTAATCCTGAAAATCTTTTATTCTGTATGAAGCCTATAGGTAGTGTGACTTACCTTCTGCCCTTGAAGGGCTTCAGAAATGTCCAAGATTCATTTACTAATACTCTGCTCTTCCTGTTCTCTAGCTATGTGTACACACACACACACACACACACACACACACGAATCCTTTCTTTTAGCTTCATGGTAGTCAAAGGCCATGAACTAGGGTAAAACAGGATGATGTACCATCGCCTGGAAATCCACTTGTGCGTTAACCAAAGCTTTAGCAATCTGTGCCGAGTTCTGAAAGTGCACATTATCTGCAACAAAGAGAGAGCAAGAGAGAGAGAGAGAGAGAGAGAGAGAGAGAGAGAGAGAGAGAGAGAGAGAATTAAAGTGCTGCTAAATACCAGAAAGCCTAGAGTGACAATGTACTGCCTGGAAATGAACACCAGGAATTATCTAGTCATGCGTTTGACATTGTCAGCAGCGAGCGATCACGCTCAAATATGGAAATGTCCCTGACTCTTAGGTACTGACCCTGAGCACAGGCATAGGAGGATGCTTAATGTTTCTTAAACAACGCGATGCTGGCTCAGTATTTTTATGTGTAAGAGTCTTGCTTAAACCTCACCATCTGCTGTTCCGTGGATGAGAAGATAGTCTACATTTCTGAAATATTCTGCTCTTGCCATCACAGTTGAATTCTGGAAAAGAAGAAAAATTAACATTTTAGTTGCTGCAAAGTTCTAATAGAAAACTAGCTAAATCATTGTGCGATGGACTTCGCACCAATACTGAAATTATGTATTGCTTTGGTTGATAAATATTTAAGAGTCAGAGCAACACATTTTCATCATCATTTGCATTACTTCCATCTGATTCTTAGTTTGAAAAACTGAAAGTTTATGTGTCATATGTTACATATGAGTGAGACCTTAGGCATAAATGATACCCACTCAAGCTGTGTAGGCGTTGGGGGTGGGGAAGAGAGATGAGAAAAAAGGGAGGTTAGGGAGAGGAGATTGGAGAAAGAATAGAATCCCCCAAAGAGTAAAATTTCTTTCTAGTGATGCTTTGCAGTTAACAAAAGATCATAATTTTTTGCCTGGGGATCCAGAACTGAATTTGCAAACTCTGAATCACTGTTTTAAAATTACTTAACACGTTTGAAATAAATTAGTGACCTAGATACAATGGGAATTGCTTACTTTATAGTGCTCGAGATTATCATCCTTTGTTGGGAGGCCCATGAATCTCTCCGAGTAGATAGATGCTGTAAAAATACACGGGAACATGCTATTTCCATTTTATACATGCCATTTCACAATCTTACATAACTCCTACATTAGTAAGTGTGCCCCAGTTCTCCCGTGGGGAGACTCTCAGTTTTAACTGATGTCATGGTTGGTCTTACTGAAGGTATCATTTCTGCAGCTTACCTCAGTGAGGTTCCAGAAACAATGCAGAAACACTATGGAAACATGAGTGTCTAAGCCTTTCCTTTCACAGGATGAAAGCTCTTTTCAGTTGCTCTCCTTAGGGGAATGTGGAGATGGGAACGGCCTCATTATATTTGAAAATAAACCACAGAATCTACCTCCTCTGGTCCCTTCATTAGTGTCTGATTTCATCTGGGATGAAAATGTGTCCCCCAGATTTATTTGCCTCTCCATCATATACACATTATCTAAAAACACAGTCACACACCTTTCTGAATAAAGATTCTCTGAAAGGCATGAATGTCTCATTTTTATTCCAGTGTGGAAAAGAGAAAATAGAGAAAGCTACAATTTTGTTTTGCACAATTATTAGAATTACTTTCAAATAAGCACTGGGTTAATCACGAGAACAGGCACACACAGGAATGGATGTCTCCCAGTTTATATATAATATAATATAATATAATATAATATAATTAATATAATATAATTAATATAATATAATTCATCCTCTCTCTCTCTCTCTGTCTCTCTCTCTCTCTCTCTCTCTTTCTCCTTCTCTTTCTCTCTCTGTGAGTAAAGGTGCTGTTTCCCACAGTGTAGTATAAAGATGAATTCCTTGGCCTCTGGCTTGACTTTGCAAAAGATATACTTAAAGGTAATCATTGCTGGAGCTATGTGCCTTCAAAAACAGAGTTAGCGATGATATTAAAGATTTGTTTCCAGAAGAGATCGAAGTTTGTGGGAGAGAAATAAATATATAGGATCTGTGAAGAGCCCTTTCTCTTTTTAACCACTGAAAGCTAAAGTATGATAATAATATGAACCACCTCGTTTATAGATTATATTTTCCCCAGTGACGCTTGGGTGAACTTTACTGCATTGTTTGTTTTCCTAGCAACCTCAAATATAGAGTAATTATGAGTTACATGTTTTCATGGCAGCATTTATGAAATGTTTCCATACCATAATATTCCCAGCTGGAGACCGGAGCCACTGCTATGCCACATTTGAAGAGACCAGTTCCAGATGCAAGGGCCAGGGATGAAACATAACCTCCATAGGACTGTAGAGACATGTTATAGGTCAGATACAAGCTCAAAAGCATCTCTGTGGGGTTTTATTTTGGCTATTTTATTTATTTACATTTCAGATGTTATCTCCTCTCTCCATTCCCACCACCTCCCCACCAAACCCCACTATCCCATCCACCTTCCTCCTTTGTGCTTTTATACCATTTTAATTACATGCAAGTATTAAAGTCAGTTCTAGGTTGAGGAACTAGCAATACAATAGAATCAAACAGTGAAGGAACAAGCAAGACAATAAACACAAATAGTCAAAGAACAGGCAAAGGCAATAAACAAAGTCCCATGATCACTGTTTCTAAGGGCTTATCAGGATGATCAAAATATCTGAGTCTACTTCCCTGTCCTAGCCCAAAGCCATTTTCATGCCTGGCCTACTTCTTTGTTCTAGCCTAAGATTTAGATTCCTGCCTCAAATTGCTTCTTCATCTTTGTGTTTTTAAAGTGAGTCTACTCACAATTAGACCCAGGGGAGCTGCGAAGAGTAGGTTAAACGCCCACCAGGTACATCAGCAGCAAACTACAATAGTAACTTTATCTCTGATAAATCAGAAAACAATTAATGGCCTGATCAAGGCAAAGTCCCTGAAAACAGGGTAGGCAATGTTTAAGAGAAAAATGTAATTACAAAGTTTTTATCAAAACTTCTTTTTCCTTTTAGATTTTTCTAACTAGCTCTTTGTTAAACAACAAAACCAACCAACCAACCAAACAAACAAACAAAATGTATTCTACTTGAAAGAGATGAACAGAGAAGGGAAATTGTTTCCAAAATGTAAGATACTTTCTAGCATTCACAGAAGTCCGATTAGGCAGACTTTGTAACTACAGCTTTACCTATTTTATGAGTATGACATGGCTGGAGTTGTGTGGTATGTAAGCCATGCACAGTTTGGGGGAATCCTGACATAGCAGCAAAAAGGAAGGAAAGTTGTTGGTATCTTTAAGGAGGGATAGGGACAGTGTGAAGAAGAGGAAGACAAGAAAGGAGAAGAGTAGAGAGGTACAAGCATGTCCATTGTTAAAATTCATGAAATATGAGGAGCAGAAGCCTATCCAAGAATTTTGTTGCATTTAGCATTTCAGTGAAGAGTCCTCTAAGTAGTTTATGGTTTTATTTTTCCATCTCTGGGGAATTTTATTGAAAGCCTTTGGCTGCAAACCACAGAATAAAAGAGGCTGCTCCAATTATACTGTGGCCTCCTTTTCTTATATTTGGAGGAGAACTAAACTAGGTTTTAATAGGGGAAAATAGATTTTAAAAAGCAGAAGGACCACTTGAGTTTGAAAATCATTTTGGTGAGTGAAACTGTCTATATGGTTTCAGATTTCACTTATGAAAATAATTTGCTTTAATTAGTAAGACTGGAAGAACTGTTCCTGGTTGGCAAGGTTTCCCTTCCTCTTTAATTTCATTTTCAAATGAGAGCAGAGTGAACCTAAGACCTTCATTGTTAATGATTTTACAGGAAAACAAGTGACTAAAATAATAACATTTGGTATGCCCTCTGCTCTCCATGTTTCCGAGCAGAAAATAGGACATTGTAATTCCTAGTATATATTAAGATCTTCTTGAACATCTGTGTTCAAAACCTTATACATTATTAATATATACCAACTCAGGGATTAGGTTACAGCACAGGGTTCAAATACATCTATCTGTCTGTCTGTCTATCATCTATCTATCTATCTATCTATCTATCTATCTATCTATCTTCTGTTTACAGATAGAATGCAAATATTGTCTAGGAATTAGTAATAACAAAATCATACTGCATCCATAGCACAGCACGTGGTTCGACTTTAAATCCCCAGGAGTCTAGGAAAAGCTCTTCCTATTGTAGAAATGAAGAGGGGTAGAAAAGAATGGTGTTGACTTTTTCTGCTCTCTCATGAGTGGGGATCCTTGACGGAGTGGGAGGTTACTGTAAGAAATGTGCCCACAGAGCAGATTGGCCAAGAGAATTCTAGAATGGTGTCCTTTGCACTTAGATGCCTTGCCATTTTGTTGAAATGAAGGATGCCTTTAAAATCATTTCCAGAAGGGCACAGAATTTTAAAACAGGGGTATGGACGCTCTTATTTAAGCTATCGTACACGTTGGGACATTTTACCTACCAACAATAACAATCACTAGCCCACACTTTTCTGGCTGAGGACCGTTGTCCACACCACATGTCTTGTCCATCCAGCTCCCACCCTACCCCCTGCTGTGCATATTTTGGGTCTCTTTTGACTTTTTTTTGTCTCTTTTGTCTTCTTTTGTCTCCCACCTGTTCTCTGAACTATGGAAGCAAGATCTGACCTCAGGATATTTGCAAATGCAGAGATCTTCCTCCTGGATAACTCTTCTCCCTGAAAGCAGCTGGCCTCACACCTCAGTCTCTCCTTCAGGTCTTAACTCACTTGCAGACAGACTCTCTAGCCTTCTTGTTTCAAACCATTCACTTACACCTAGCTCTTCGCTTCCCTCTTTTCTTGTTTTATTTTGCATTTTTAAATATCCCTTCCCATCCCTCAACATTTTGTATTGTACTTATTTATCCTTTTCTCCCACTATTCTCCAACTTTGCGAGTAGAGAGTTTTGTTTGTTTTGCATATGGATCTATTCCCAACACTGAAAATATGGCCTGATATGCAGGAGGGATAAAAATACATATTTACTGAATACATAATTCCACTGTTATCTCCTGTAATTCCCACAGTGACCAGGGAAAGAAATTGTTGATGCATTTTTATAAAGGAGAAGCTGAAGCTCCCACAGTAGCTGTAGAGTCAATAAAAACTGGAGGTGGGGCTCAAACCCAGAAGGCCTGCCTTAGCAACCCATGACATTTCCTGTTTCCCCACACCAGGGCAACTTCTTTTGGCAGAAATAATATAGCTTAACATGGTCCCTCATTAGAAGTGTATTCTTTCTACATTTACATCGTTCTCACATAGCAATTCAAATCGCTTATAATTAGTCACTGCAAGAGAAAGGAACTAAGATTAAATAATGAACTGATGCTTATTCAACACCACCTGGCTAGGTCTTCACTAACAAAGCAAAGCCTGCAAATGTAGTTTCTTTTTCTAATAGTTTACGCAAACCTCTCCCTGTTCCTGAACAGTAAGAATAATTGCTTTAATTTTTCATTGCATTCAAGATTTTAACACATGTTGTAGGCTTTCTTGAGCATTGTTGAGCCTTTATGCCTCTTCCTGGCCTTCTGTCCCACATACCAATAGCCTTTCTCTAAAGTAAAAGCCTAAAATGTCTTGAAGTATTGGCAAATGGCCCAAAAGCAAAACCATTCCCATTAGAAAGCATTATAATGAACGGGCATGTCTTAAATGCCATGAAGGAGACATAACAGATATTTTGCAACTGACTAAAATGAGGGCTATAAATCTTTGGTTATCTGACCCACGTAATAAAAATGTAGTGTCAAAAATGCTCCTTCCTTCTGTAAAAAAAATCTATACCTGGAAAGAAAATGTAGGATTTGAAACTTATTGACAAACCACTTGTAAACAGTATTGGTTGGGTTAGACACGACCTATTTAACAGGCTGCAGAAATACTTAATATTACACCGGAAAGGATAACTTCTTCTCTGATGTGAATAATTAACACCTGAGAATCTGTTACAATCAATTCTTAATGACTTCCTCCTTAATATCTCCAGTTTCCAATAGGTTCTGACTTCCTAGTCTTTAAGGGAACTGTAAGACTATGGGCTCTTCCAAATGCTTGCTTCTCTGGCTAATTGCAAGCCTTTGCAATTTGTCCCTAGTGCTAACCTTCAAGCCTTGCTTTTAGACCACCTTCATCCTATGACATTATATTTCTAAGATATCAACATGGTGGTATTATTAACGTCAACAGCTCTTCCCGTAGATATAGCCATGAAAACTACTGTTATTACATATTTGTGGGGAAAGGAGAGATAAATAATTGTAGAGTAAAACACTTTTTGTGCTAAACAAAAGTCTTTTTAAAGTTTCTTTTTAACTCTTCCATGGGGCCAAAATGGACTATTCTAAATAAACAACTGTGGGGAAAATTTGGAGGCCGCCACAGCGGTGGGGCCCCGGAGGGGCTTCCACGCTGTGGCGGGTCTCGCACTTGGGAGGAATCCTATGATTCCAGCGGCCTGGAGGCCTTGGGTGGCAGGCCCCAATGATTCGAGGAAGTCCTTGGTTCCAGAAAGGTTTATTGTCATGACGGATGGTAGATGGATCTAGGCGTACCCCTGAAAACTCAGGGCAGTCCTGAGCTATATTACGCAGTCCCACAAACAACTACTTCCCAAACTGTTAGATCATAAACTATTTTCCTGAAAAAAAAAAAAAGAACAACAACAACAACAAAACCCAAACTCTTGATATGAGTGAAACAAATTTTGGGAGAACATGAAGGTAAAGGATTAAATTCAGTTTAACCAATATCAGAGATGCTTGACATGACTATATGTTTCATTAAACATCTGAGAATAAAAAGTATCAAAAAAAGATACAATTTATTCTCTTGAAGAACCTCAGTGCTTGTGGAAGAAGCAAACAGATGCCTATTCCTTTAAGAAGAGTACAGAGTTAAAGCAACACTAAGATTGTTGCACTGGCTAGATCTTCAGGAACAAGTGGTTTTCCGTTTTAGAGGGGAGACAGGCTGAGTGATGGAGGAAGTACATGGAAGTGTTGTTAGGAAGTTTATGTAGTCATAGGAACAGCAAAACACAACTGTAGTTTGGCTACTTATCAGATCTGGGAGAAACAGGATTGAAAAGATAGTAGGAGCAAGGTTGCCAAGGACCGGGGACACAAGGAGATATATTTGCCACTTATTATATTGTGATCACCGTGGAATCCCGAAGAATATAGAAATAAAAATAACACATTAGAAATTGTGCTTCAAGGCAGTCATGAAGCCTGCATGGGTCTATGGTAGCTCCTTTGCATATATGTTATGCTTGTTAGCTTGGTGTTTTTGTGGGTCTCCTAACAGTGGAAGTAAGGGTGTCTCTGACTCTTTGCTTACTCTAGGAATTGTCTTCCTTCTACTCGGTTGCCTTGTCCAGCGTTGATACGAAGGTTTGCCTAGTTTTATTGTATCTTGTTATGGAATGTTCTGTTGAATATATGTATACATATGTATGCATATATGTATGTATACATACGTATGTATATATATATATAATTGTTAAAGAATTGAAGCAAAACAAAAATATTTTAGAATGACAACATTTTAAACAACATTGGAGTTGTTGAGGCCTGTCCAAGGTCAGTTAAAAAGCAACTAAAATCGCTTAATTAGAAACTACCCAACCAAGATCATAGACCAAAAGCGTTAGCATTATCTAGAATTTGATCAGAAATGCCAATTCTGAGCCTTAGCAGACTCTCTGGTGGTAAGGATCTGGAAGCTGTGTTTTAATAAGCTTTTTGCATGAGAGATATATGCCTAACATTTGAGAAGTTCTAGTTTAACGCAGAAGAAACTCAAATTAAACAATGTTATTGGGGATAGTAACAGCTATTTAACAGTTTGAAGTGGAAAAATAAGTTCACTGATCAACAGAATGATGGACTCAGAAAGAGATTTAAAGGTAAGAAGCAACTCTTTTAAGCTTTCTAATTGGATGACTCAGTAGATGACAAGGTCTTCAGGGATGATGAAGACTTGTTTTAAGGTAGATCATAATAAGGTTAGTTTGGAGTAAACTAAGCTTGATGCCCAACCAAGTTGTGTCCCGAAGGAGAGATGACAGATGAGCAACTGAAATATAGGACTCAGAGGAAAAGAACCTGCAAGTGGCCAAATTCTGCAACCATATCATCTTTAAACCCTAGAGTTTGTTCCAATGACCTACAGAGTATTGATGGATGAAGTCCACACTCAGAGACAAACTAACATTTAAAGAACCGACAGACTGATGATCAAAGAGGCACAGAATACAAAAAGCCATACACGCTCTTCTTTGTGTGGCGTAGTAGGCCCTTATTGTCTGGTGGCTTTCACTCCAGACATCTCCAAACTTTTCTTCATGAGTCTTTAGCCTTACAAAGTTTTTTATGCTTTTGACAAACTCACACGTGCTTCTTTGCTTTATCAAGACTAGAATAAATGTGGTCTTCACACTCTAGATGCCCATTTATTAAGCTATTATTGGCTATCATAGGTGCTGATTCATATCTGATGTCTCTATTAGCTCTCACAGCAACAATTAACCACATTTCTTCCTGCTGTTGTGCACGAGTAGATCTCTTGATAAACTGTGGCTTTTCTACATTCTTCCCCTATACAAAAGTCAAATCTAGGATTGATTCACCCTTTTATCCATAAAGAACCTAGCATAAGGGCTGGGGATGTGATTCTGTACATATAGTGCTTGCCTTGCATGCTTGAAGACCAAGGTAGAATCATGCAAAATTGGGGTAAGTAATACATATTTGTCATTCCAGCACTTGGAAGGGAGATTCAGGAAGATCAGAAGTTCCAGGTCATTCTTAGATATATAGGTAGTTGAAAGGTAATCTGAGATGCAGGAGACTATGTTGGAAAAAATAAATCAAATTGCTGAACACAGGACCTAGTTGAGATATAATGATAATTTACAAGGATGACGAAATGGATGTTAGAGACCAGATATATGGTTTAATAAGAACAGAATGTCCCAAACGGGAAGAACTGATATATAAAGGGGCGTAGCATTATGGCTTTTGCACCTTGTTTCCTCCAGTCACTTGGAGTCTACTCAGGCATGGCATGCATTGGCAAGCGACTCACTGCTTTCTTCTTTAAAATGTGCACTTACAAGTCTGATTCATGATCATGGCCGTGTGAGAGAGTCAGCAGTCAGGGAAAATAAAATACTATTTCTTCTGATGGTATTTACGCAATCAGCCATGGTAAGTGTCTCTTACTGAAGGATTCTGAGTTGACGTACATGCACTGTTGGGTAATGAGTTGTTTTTGAGGTCAGCCCATAGAAGATTCTCTCCCAAGCTAATATCTAACCATGTTCAGTAAGTAAAATGGAAAGTTCTAGTTCATGGTTACTCAGAGCTTACAGAAAAAAAATAAAGCATAGCTCTAAGCAAAATGTTAATGATTATACATGATTTGCTTAAAATGAGACTCTGTCAAAGATCTACTTTAGAAATTTCACCAAAAAAAATGGATAGTAGGAAAGGTCTTCTCTGAAATATTCCCCTTATTAAACTATTTGGCTTGCTTCTACCAATTTGAATCCCATCCTGCGTAGATACTTAACATTTGATAGGTTTGAGACGCAGCAAATGACTTGAAATAATAACTTTCTCCAAATTCCTAACAGCCTTTCATCTGGTCACTGAGCTTGGAGTTGAGCTGGATTCTGCAGATTCCGTTCAATGCTGGCCTTCACTCCCTCCATCCTGTGCAGGCCTCTCTTACAGAAAACAGCCAAGAAAAACAACCCAAGTACAACCGGCTACAAATTGACTTGCAAATGTACAAATTCAGACCAAAAAGTGAAGCAGGGAGACTTCTTTGAAGCGTAATTATCATAATTCATAATGGACAAATTTAAACTTTTCCCAATATTTCTCTAGAGTGTCCGGTGACTTTATTTCCCACAATTAATGACTTCTGCCACTCATTTTTGTGTTTATTGTTAATAAATGCGTCAGTCTTCACACTTGGGACAGTGTCATCTCCATGACCAATAGCTAGGGAGCCAAATAATGCTTTCTTTCAAATTAGCACCAATTCACATTTGGTCTACAGGTATACTTTGATTTTCCCCAAAGTCAAAAATGCCTAACAACTTCGTTAGGGCTACACTGGTCTAGATAGATGCTAAGCAATTTTTGTACCAAAATTTCCTATCATTTCAGCCCTTAGCTCAGATTTTTATGAAAAGGAAATACAAAACATAAAACAAATATTAAATCCAAAATGAAAGAAGCAATCAAACCTTTGAAGGGCATAGTTCAGTTCAACATGCTATAATCTAGTATTAAAGATTAAGTAACAATGTGTCAGTTATGGATTCATTTGCTATACAAAGAAGAAATTAAATCAGAAAAAAGGAACAAACACTGAAAACCACCACTTCAAAGCTGATATTATCCAAAATGACTGTTTCTATTGACAGACTAAATTATGTTGCAACACTGACATTTCATGAAAACCCTCCTAGGCGAACACTTTTGAAAATGAAGATTATTGAACCGAATATCAGGCAGAGAACGTATAAAACAACTCACCCAGCCCCATATGGCTACTCTTTCTTCATCAATGAAACCCATTTCTATGAATTTTCTAAAGTGAAAGAAACAAGTGTTTAGAATTTTAATTGTGTACACATGACATTTACTTCATTACACAAGCATATTTAATCCAAAGATTTAATAGAAACGCTTCATCTCTTTGTTTAAACATGAGCATAATAAGGCAGCATCTACAAATAACTAAAATAATATTTTCATGTTTTCTGCAGAGGATAAAAGGATCATCTTAGACTCCATTCTTCATCCTTAGTGATCCCAGGGTTCTCAGGTCCAGTGTTTGAATTTTGTGAGTTAGCAAAGCCTGTCTGTCCCCAGATTGCCTCGTTAGAATACAATGGCATCTCTACTAGTACAAATTTCCCAATCCTTGGGTCTTGGAAAGAATTTTTGTTTCATTGCCGTTTCGATTCTTATTAAACGTGTATCACTCTATTTGCTTAGTTGTTGACAACCATCACTTTGCTTTTAAGTCCTATTCAAAGAAAAATCTACCCTTACCATTCATAAACAGGAGCGCCCCCCCTCCCCGATTTACTATTGTATGGACAACTAACTATATCTACGTGTATCCTTTTAAAATGTTGAAATGATTTGCTCGGCTCCATCTCATTTCCAAAACGTTTACAAAATAATTTTTTTCCTTGGGAATTACAGACTATAAGAAAAGCAACCTTTAAAAGTCCCGGGAAGCCTCCAGAGCAATGTTTGCCATTCATTTTTACCTCCGTTCTCTAGTATTCTAGAGAAAATGAGACTTTTTGGGAGAATGGGTTGAGAGCCTCAAGAAAACTTTATAGATATCAGAAACAAGGGAAGAAAGAAGGGATGATGGGAGTGAGTGGGCCCTGGAGAACTCCACAGTGGGCAGATGGAAGGGAGGGACCCAGGGATGCACAGCCCCCAAAACACATTGGTGGCCTCTGCTTTTTGCTTAAGCCTTTCTCTCCAGTTCTCCGAAAGTAGAACACGTATATCTTTTTTGTTAGTGGAATAATGGAATGTCTCCTTTTCTTTTGTTGTTCTGGGAATTGAACCGAGGTCCTTAGGTTTACTATGCTGGTGCTCTACCTCTGAGCCCTTTTCGCCAGCTCTGTAGAATTACTTAAAGAGATTTTACAGCATCCATTTCGCTTACTGCATCGACTCAGCATGCACGTTTCTGACGCACTGAGGAGTTGGGCAAATGCCCGGGACAAACAGATGGAAAGAGGCCCCGTTAGTCACAGCTTACCCGACACGAATTCTGAAGGACACTAAGTGTACAGGGAAGAAAAAGAGTAGCGAATGGAAAATTGCTACCTGTGTGGAAGCTGATCAAGGGAAAGCGAGCAAATGTGCAGAAAATGTGGCCCTTCAGCCATTCTCCCACACTTTTCAAAATCAAAATGGGAGATGAGAAGGTTTGCTTTCTTGTTAAAAGATAGTCTCGCTACTGGTGTTGGAAGACAGTTCTGAGCCATAAAATCAGTCATGGTTTTATGATCTCCCAGAGGCTAACAATCATACTGCCTTGCATCTGGGGCACAAAGCAAATAACAGGTATGCATAGGAACAGGAAATTCTTATCCGCTCCCTGGTTAGGTTTATTCTGAAAGGATGACATTTACAGGAAATGATAGTTTAGTGGGTAACATGGAAATGAAACATTAACACTTAATGTGGCAGGAAGAGGTTAAAGGTTAGCTAGATAATACAAGCCTTTTGAGATCAACAAGGCTCTATAAACTTCATCCTCAAAATCTGAAAAGCTTCCTGGAAGGTGAGTTATCCGAAACTATTGATAATATGGTTTAATCACCACAGTCAAAGTAACATACAAATAAGGTGATTTTGTATTCTTAGAGGTTAAACTGAACTTCACATATTTTCCCCATTAAAAAATGACTCTGGGCTAAGATCATCTTGACTCTTAGTGACCGATTATGCTATTTGAGAAATTTTCTTTTGACACTATCTGTGAGTGTGACAATATATTTTTTTCTCATTCAATTTTTCATCATTAACCCTTAAATCACATAAAAATAAGACTGTGGGGCTGTATACGATGCTGAGTACACTCCAAATGAGTGAAGATGACCCTATCAGCTCTGAAATTTTGTGATTGTCTTAAATGTGACATTTTCCAAGAAGCCTGAAGAAACCATGTTCCCTTTCCTCCAGCGCTTATGAACTCGCTGCCATCTGTTCCGTAAGGCATCCTCTTGCACGAACAGGCTATGAGGTGATATCGGTCTGCTCCTCCTCCATTTTCCACTTTGCACATATAAGCGTGGTTTGTCTCGTATTTACTGCTGTTTCAAACACACATACACGGCTTTCTGCTGACATGTAAAAAATTCACCTATATAAAATTTTATAAGAGATTCAAGGAAAGCAATTTTGTTTCTGGGTTGACTGGAGAATGACAGCCAAGGGCTTACAAACTCGTTTCTTCAGGTTAGGTGTTCACTGTCTAATTCCTAAAAGGCTGCGTTGGGAGGTAGGGAGTTCAGTTACTCTTGGGATCATCTCATTCTTTCCTTTTTGGGCTTTCCTTTTGTGAACTGGATCCTAAGGTCTCCTGTACATGTTCGAGTAACAAAGATTTCCAACAAATCTAGGGCCAACCCAGGAACTCTGTGCACTGTTGCACTCGTTGCCTTGCTTGCAGCTACCCTATGATCTATGCTCTATGAGGGGCTTGCTAAAAATCCCGTCTAACAGTGATGCTTCCCCTTAGAGCACCACTTATCCATGTTTACCAGGTAGTAAATGCATTGGAAGCAAGGGCTGCAGGTTGCATTGCTTTGTGCAGAATGTAATATGGTGGCACATAATAGAACATGGCATGCATTGTTAAGTGGCTGAGCACATGGGTAGCGGTATGCTTGCCCTGTATCAGGAGAGCTATCTCCAGATAACATTCTAGAAAATAAACATTCAGGGAACCTTTAATACCCCTTGTTACATTTGCAATCGAGTACCAAAGACAAGTTAGTCTTTTTACAAAATTTAATAGAAGGGATTTAAGGCTCTTTGTCCTATATACTGAATGCCAGAAATAACAATTTTCATTAAGGTCCTTACCTGGGCTTTAGATCTATCAGATTTATACTTTTACTTCATTCAAAAGAACAAATTAAGAATTGATTTCTTGGTGAGTACTATATTTGTGATGGTAAATCAATGGTTTAAATACCATGACTTGGTTTGTTAGTGAACTGTATGATTATGCTCGTTTTAAGCCGAAGCCAAAACAAATCACCCTACAGTTCTATCAACCTTAGGAAGCACTTAAAGACATGATTTATAATTTTTATCTTCATGCCTTTGTGAAATCTTTGATTTATATTTCCTTGGTGTTTTGCATAGTTTAAGTATTAACAGCCAAGACCCAAGATTCTAGCAAAACACTCGAAAAGTTAAAGCTGGAAGGCCAACAAATGTGTTTATACTCTCGACAGGGCACACCGAAGTTTGGAGGAACTAAGCTGAGAATTTAGCTCAGTAGGAAAGTGATTGCTTAACACTCACAATGTCCTAGACTTGCTTACCAACACTGCCAAAACAAAAACAAACAAACAAAAGCAGAAGACAAAGTCCTCTGTTGGTCCCTGTGGAATTAATCTTCAAACCATGTCTTCATTGGACAGAATTCTTCCAAATAAATTAATAGTAAAAATATCAAGTCTGTATCAGTGAAGATCATATAGCCCCTAAGAAGCGAGAGGCTAATTATAAATTTCGATGTTGTTTAACAATGCCATCATGAATTTACTATCATTTATTACAATAGACTGCTCTAATTGAACACATTTTTTTCTGTGCATAAATGACTGTTCACTAAATGGAAGAAACACTGGAATGTGTGAGTCAGGACTGCCTTTCTAGTCTTAAAATTATTTACATATGAGTCCACATTTTTCTACTTTGACTAGAGTCAGCAATACAATAAATAAAGGAAGGAAGGAAGGAAGGAAGGAAGGAAGGAAGGAAGGAAGGAAGGAAGGGAAAGGAAAGGAAAGGAAAGGAAAGGAAAGGAAAGGAAAGGAAAGGAAAGGAAAGGAAAGGAAAGGAAAGGAAAGGAAAGGAAAGAAAGAAAGAAAGAAGGAAAGAAAGAAAGAACTAACTGTCTGGACCTATTACCTGGCTGTTAAATAAAGTCTCTTCTGTATATGTTCATCAATATTGCTAATATCAGTGACATTCAGGGTTTAAGAGATATTCTACTGAGTTTTATTTTTTTTAAATTGATCTTTCTTGTGGATCATTGTTCAGTCTTTAGCTGTTACATGAACAAAATCATCTATATCTATGAGTGCAACCAGCCAGCTAGCCAGTAGCTTTCAGACTGGTAAACTTGTATTCACCAGTTTCACCTCCTCACTCTATAGGAATAGGAGTCCAGGGAAATCCTGCATATTGTCCTTAATGCAGTTGTTTTACCGACAACACTGTTTTAGATTCTTGAAAGATGATGGGTCCATTAACTGTGGTTAGAAATATAGCTGAGGAAGAAGAAATTTCATCAGCCTTTCTTCTACATGTTTTCTGGATATTCCATATATTATATGAAGACAGGAGCTTTTTAACAATGAAAATTGCCAACTACTCTCATGATAGCATAGTAAAAAATGACAGCAAGATTAATTACAAATGAACTTCCAACACCCAGAACGTGCAGTGCCAATGAAAGTCTGAACCACTTCTAAAGAGGAGGACTGACAACAATTGAATATATTCAGGTATTTGATTTACTGATGATATCACTGAAGTTATGTAATTTTTTTCTTTTTGTTTTTCAATTGTGGGCTGTGGTAATCAATAAAAGTTCAGTTGGGGTATCTTGGGTCTACCAAACATTTTTCTCCACCTTTATTAGCCCCTTCTCTTGAACAACTTTCCTCATATGTGACCCAGAAGATCCCTTTAAGACTAATAATAATTTTGTAGCAAGTCAGTAAGCCAGACTGAAAAAGAATGAAGTCATTAGGAATTGTAAACATGACTGAAACTATGGGTCAGTGGCCAGACATACCCACTATTTTCTGGGGCCCCTGTCGGATCTAGGGTAGTGACGCTGTGTGTTTGTTGTGTGTAGACAGTCTGTTGAAAAGGTGCTCACCTGACAGCTGTAAGCTGATCCTCAACTTCATACACACCCAGCTTTCGATACACGGCATGCAGGAATTTGTCACCTTGGAAAGCGGTGCCCCGACCATCTACCAAGGCAATGACTATCCCCTCCTTACTTGCAAGATAAGCTATCCAATTAACAGCAAATACAGACTTTACACTCTGGCTGCAGGGACCACCATACCTAAAGGAAAATAAAAAATAATTTCTGAGTTTTTAAAAATGAAATCCAGTTGCCCACAGCAGCCTACCAGTTGCCAGGTCCCATTATGTGATAAAAATTTCAGTATCAATAGCATTAGAGCTGGCTCTTAGTCAAGAGGAGACCAGGCTTTTCCCAGAGGTTTGCTACAAGGAAGTTGTTTTGGGACACAGCCTCTCCTATTCCCCAAAACGGATACATCTAGGGTTGGCATTTCAAGGAATATGTGTGGGTTTTTCGTCATTTCTGCCACCTGCCACTTGCTAAAAGCAGACATAAGATATACTAAAAAAAAATGCATGGTGTTTTAAGCAAATTGTGTGTAGGTCAGCACTGATTTTGGGTGTCATTCCACTAAATGTATTCCATTCCTTTATTTCATTTCTAACTCAATTACATAAGATGTTAAGATGATTTACACTATTTTTTTTTTTGGCTGCAATCTCTCTATCTCAAAGGTATTCTGACACATTCGGCAATTTGCCATCCCAAGGAAATTCAACACAGCAAATGCAGGCAAGTCCATCTCAAATCAAAACTTCCTCGGTCTATTTTAAATAACCATATTTTATTTACTCTGATTAGTTGGGGGAATATATAAAAACAGCATCAATAGGAACTGTTACCAAGGAGAATGGTTCATTCTATTTCATAAATGTGTGTTTCATCCAACATATTTTCAGTAAATAGCTTTTACACTACACAAAATATTACATACACTTGAATTAGCAAAGGGTACTTCTTTGATCTGTCAAACTGAGGAGGAAGAATCATCTTGTACCATAGAGCTTTGAAAACAGAAAAAGGGAGAATAATTATTCCATCACATGTAAGTTATTTTCTTTGACAATATACACCATCAAAGCAACCTAGTAAATCATTAAGGATTAAGAATGTATTTTCAATTGACTTTATTGCCTATTTCAGGTCTAATTTGCAAATGACTACACATCCTCAAAATACCTGCTTGCTCTATAAGCATCTATTCTAAAGTTAAAATTAGACAAACTCTTCTTTTAAAAATGTCAGTGTAGACAGGGAGCTATGGGAAAGTAGATGAGCAGTTGTATTTATAATCATATTAAAATGTTTAACAAAACTAAATATTGTTAGGAAAAGGTTATTTTAGATGAGAGCTTATGTCATATGCTTTGGACTATAACATGTACGCAGTAATTTATTTTTAAAGCAAGCTAAGTGTTCAGCTTTCCATCTATAAGCGAGAAGAATTAGAATATCTTACTCATTCCACCGTCTTCAAGCTTCTTAATTTCCACTGTAGGCAACTGGATGTCTCTCAGAGCATTTTCCAGTTCTTTGTTTTCTTCTAATATTTGTATTTCTTTAAAAATAAATATAACGTTCATCTTCAATTCATGCCATTTACATAAATAATTTCTTTCATGAAATTACTTCGGCTTGTACGGGTGACCCTGATGTGACTGAGTAAGGGTCTGCTACGGTCATTCACAGTGGCCGTCATGACGCAGCTGGGAGTGCGGATGCCAACGTGTGAGGTCATCGCATCTGACCAGTGTCTTTGTAGCCCCTAATGCTGCCAGCACTTAAAGCCAAAGTATCAAAGTAACAATGTTCATTAGACCATCTTGTCCCCATCTGACTGTAGTTATTCATTTTGAAGCCATGCGGCTGAATAGGTGACATTTCTTTAAAAGTTGAGCAAAAGGGAGAAATACAGTCTCTGGATGATTGACCCATCTCAGTGAAAGGGTGACATAACAGCAAACCTAATGTATACAGCACAAGGAGTTAAATCTTGTTTCTAAGATTTCTATATTTATATCTCGACCTTTTCCTGTTATATTTGATTAATGTAGAAATGTATCTTTTTTGAAAACAAATTGTTGTGTGCACAATTCCTTCAAAATCTTTCTCCCAAAGTTATTGTATATCTCAGTCAAAGAGCAACACACAGTATTGTGTCTGGAGCCTGGAAAACAATCTAAAAGCTGCTGTTTACAATAAGGAGTGGTGGCTCCTGCCTAGAATTTCAGTCTTTGGAGACTGAGAAGGAAGGATCTCAGTGAGTTTAAGGCCAGCTTGGTTTGCATAGTAAATTCAAGATTAGCCTAGTCAAAAGCCTAAGACCCTCCCTCAGAACAAAACAAAAGCCACTGTTCATACTTGAGCTCAGCTATACTTCACACTTTAATGTTCAAACTGAATATATCAGTTGAGCCTCTGAGTGTTATAGATTGGCAATACATGTAAATGGGTTTATATTAAGAAAGCTCTTTAAAATAAGTTTAATTTGATACTAGCATCTTCATGAAAAAATTAGTCTTTCATACAATATGTGAAGTTAGATTTTTTTTTCTGTGAAAGAGAGAAGTAGATGACTTGTGAGATATGGTAATTGCTACAAAATAAATCCTGAAGACTTTGTTTACATTCGTTTTTGAAAAGCGGTCACTGAAGACAGTGAACTGGAGACTCATAACTACTCTGTTTGCCAAACCACTTCCCATAGAGTTCTATGTTTTCATATATTCATGGCATTTTGCTCCAAAATGTGTTATATTTAATCTTAGAACACGTAGAAATGCTTTGGATATGATTTATATAAAAGACATAATAAGTTTCACATTAGCTTTGGGTAACCCATCAGAAAAAAAATACTTCTGACATACTACACATTAGAACTCATAAAAATTAAATTCACACATTTAAGTGAATCTAGCTACTGCCTCCCTTTGTGTGGAGTGTGTATGTGGAGTTCTCTCAAAAGTGAACCCTGTAGGAGGCCAAAATGTAGAGCGGGTAAGGGACTCATGATTGCTATTCTTGTTATCTGACTGGAAATAGGTGTGATCACGTTGTATGATTTTTAACTCTATTGCCATCTTCTTGCTAATTAATTAACCTTCGCATTTATGACTTAATGAAGTAAAAGCTTTGGTTGAAAATCTACTCAATGCCTCTGTAGTTATAGTCATATTCTTCTGAATAGTGAGCAAAAAGTTGTCCTACTTCTTAAAGCAGACAAATATTTCTTCTTACAAATAGAATTTCCTTGGGCTATGGTAAGAGTGAGAGGTGGCAACTGGACTTTTCTATGGAGTTGTGGGTTATGAGCAGTCACTTTGTAAGGAGTGGTATAGCTCACTATATACTTTCTGTCCTTTGTTCATCTTTCTATGTTCTCTGCTCTCCTAGTATATGATATGGAGTCCATATTCCATATGTTCGTATATACTGTATTATGACAAAACTCAATTGAACTGTAAAAGTGATAGATCTTATATTCAATTTTTGTTTAAGTCATATTAAAGTGATGTATTTCATATTAATTAAATTTTGTAAAGAGTCTGTGGAGAAACTGATAAGTGAGGTCATCCGGTTACTTAGTTTAATGAGAACCTGCAATGCCCAAAGCAACTAAGCTTCAAATGGACCCTCAATATTAAGTGCCAACTCTTCTGGGTTTCCATAGTATCTGGTTCAAGTATAATCTTCTGTTTTCAAATGACTTTCTTCTTTGAATGGAAATGAAACCCACTGTTTTCTTTAGGGCTTTCAAACTTTCATGAAACCACCACTGTCTCCTCAACCTTTCTCATCACAGGTGATTAATCTCTTCATGTATTTCAGAACTCTACCTTCTCTTACCTTTCAAGGACTTTCCTTATTCTCTCTCTTGGGGCTTGTATAGTATATGAAATGTATATAGCCAAAACTAGTCTCCAACTCCTGATGCCCTTTCTCCACCTCTCAGTATTAGAATTGCAGATGTGTGCCATGTTCTGCACCTAGCATTCTTCAATCTTGTTTAGCCTCATAATTTCTTCAGTCAACACTCAACAACAAATGTTTATCATCTTACAAAACACCCATCGTTCTCAGCTAGAAGCCATCCTTCTCTGTTCACAGGCATATGCACTAGAAGCACTGATGACTTTGTTAAAACAAACAAACAAACTCTCACCAATTTCCTAGGCAGGTCCTACCTTGGTTTAATCTTGTCACCTCCACCCCTGTTTTCTAGAACCTGCTCTCAAAGGTAGTTGGCTCACTTTTCAGTAATTACTGTCTCATCCACGTCCAAGGCCATTGATAGCAAGTTGTCCATAAGCTAACAGCTTCTTGATGATAATCTTCAGTACAACTGCTATTTTGACATTCAGATCCCCAAATCAGGTCTCTGTAGGTCAACCAGTTCCAGCTGAATATCCTATCAGTTTGTTAAATAAATCTCACCATCTCTTCAAAGTTCTGTCCTCTACAGCTAGTACTTTGTGAGTAAAAGCAACCATTTCAATCCACCAACCAAGCCAGTCAACTGAACAGTATCAATTTCTTTTGTATTCAAGAATCTCAGGTTTGATGAATAGCATTAGGGTAGATTTCTTACCTGGAATAACCCAGATAGGGGCTTTCCCTGTATGCCTGTATGTTTCCTGTATTTCCTGTATTTCCTGTATTTCTCTTAGCACTGCATTTCATTTTCTCATTGTTGCCTGCTCATACATTTGCATCACCCACTAATCTCTAAGCTCTTTGAGGGTAGGAATAAATGTCCAATCTGCTCTCCATCATCTTAGAGAAATAGTACCACAGTGGATGGCCTAATTTAGTAAATGCTCAAAAAATATTTGCTGAATAAAGATTGTTGGCACCAAATAAAAAGAATAGTGGGTTTTAAAAAAAAAACTTTAAAAAGCATAATGCATAGAATTTGATATAAAATAGCACTTAGATCTTTACCAAAAGTATAGATTACCAAGCATAGTTAAAATCTACCTGACTGGAGGCTTTAAGAATCTATATTTGTGATAAGCATATGGTATGGTTTAAATATGAGTGTTTCTCATTAGTATGTTTGGATACTTGCTTTCCAGTTACTGGCACTGTTTTGAAAGGTTCTAGAACCTTTAAGAGGTAGAGGCTTTCTAGAAGTAAGTTAAGGTCTGAGAGACTGATCTGCCTTGACACATGCTTGTGAATTCTTTCTGCTCCCTGCCTTCAGATGCAATGTGGCCAGCTACCTCAAATTCCTGCCACCTTGCCTTCCAACCATGGCAACCTGGATACCCTCAAGCTGCCTTCTTCTCAGGGATTTGATTGGAAGAATGAGAAAAATAACAAATACAGCATAAATGACTACTGTTTCATTAGACAAGTTGCTGGATCTGTTCTCTAGAAGAATTTGAGTCATTTCTTGAATTAGAAAATATAAAAATATATGTGATATGCATGGAGAGTGGTGTAATAAAACTTCAAAAGCATTAAAAAGATTAGTATCTGCCTGGAATATAACAAGAACATCAAGAAAAAAATGCTAGGATATAGAAATTCATGTTATGGGGGAAAGGAAGTTGAGTTATATTTCAGAGCGGTGATAAAATGAACTTTAAATATCTATGGAGATTTCTATTAAAACAGAAATTCAGGACTTGAAAGTAGTATTGCTTTGAAATGTTCTCTCAACATTGAATATGTCTTACTAACAAATTTATTAACCTATTTTTCATCAATATTAGAATCAAGGTTAAAATAACTTCAAAATGAAGCTAAATCTACTGTCCTACTTCAGAATTCCTGTCCTAGCCAGAGCACCTGGCCTTTTCTTCATGGCTTCATTTTCACCTATTCTTGATCCATTAAACTGACACAAAACTAATCCCCAAGTAGTGTCCTGACTTGACAGCCAACTGTCCAGGGACAGCCACAGGCCTGAGTGCTGAAGGCAGGAGCATCCCCTTGTTCCCCATCACTCCCATTCTCCAGCAACTCCAATCTGTTTGTGCTGTTTAATGGCCAATCAGAGGATAATGCAGCACCAGCAGGAAGAACACCAGAAAATTAAATACTCAGATAACTCTGCTGAGAGCAAAAATGGCCATCTTTGAACTGTGAACCGTTTTAAGCACCATCTCAAATTCAAGGTAGAGGCGAGCTATGGTGACAGCAGTCAAAAGTGGAACGTATCCCCAAATTCCAGGACTTTCACACATGGCAACAATGTGATATAGCTGTTAGCACAAAGCAAAACAAACAAAAGAGCTGGCGTGATAATCACCCTCTGCTCTGAACTGAATTGGAGAAGTAAGAAGTGATGTCTAGAAATTTTTGCCAGTGTGGGATGATAAATGAAAAAAAAAAAAAACAAAAAAAAAACCTCCTCCTGGAAAAGCAGGGATTCTTTTTTTGAGGAGAAGGAAGATACACGAATATGCTTTCCTTCTGATTCTAATCTTCTGTGGTTTTAGAAAGCCAGGGAAGAAGAAAGAATTGATCTCTATGGTGTGGTTTCTATTATGTCACAGCCCCATTGCCAAGAAGTGCTTGACTTCATGTGATCAGATTTAAAGCAACAACATTTCAATCTGTGGATTGACGAGCTTTATGATAATAACATGGCATCACAATTCAACCTGTCTAGGTTGGCTAACTATCCTGCCCTCTGAAGGGGTTCATGATGGAGAACTCAGGATATCTTTAGATGCAAGAGAGTACCTTGATCTGTGCGGCCATCGTGGAGGGTGGAAATGGGGAGGCCAGGGCCTGTGTACAGAACAGAAACAAAAATGTGATTACTGTTAGGAATAACAGTTCACTGTCAGCCAGGACGGCTTGTAGTATTTATGACTAGTGCCAAGACAAGTACATCTTTTAACTCTTTGCTGTCTTTATGTACTTATTTCTTTTAGCCATAGAGAAGCAGACATTTTAAGTTACACTTAAACTACATGCATCAGGGCAAAGCCCAATCAAAGGACAGAGATGTGAGAAGCCTTACCTGTGCTATAGCTTTTCTAGGAGCCTTAATGCTTAAAATCCAATTAGTTACACAGAAAGGCCTCAGAAGCTGCAAGTGGCCTTCTGGGAAGCTGTCACACTTGTCGCATTGGACAAGTTTTAATTGTATATTTATTTTTAAGTAACCATCAGTATCTAGATTTCCTCTCTTTTGTTGAACGTTCAGTTTGTTTTGGTGGATAGTAGCTAACATCTTCTATCCTTGTGAGTATGACAAGCATAAATAAATTTTTATACAATGATTCCTTTTCCAATATGCTGTTTTAGGTCATGTTTTCAGGGTTAGTAAGTTATGGCAGGTGGAAGGGGGTACTGAGATGTCATTTGAGGGATTAAAGAAGGAAGAATGGAGTCATGAAGGCCGGTGGGCTTCAGGGTTTGTCACAGAGACTCCAGCCAAGCTTCCAGAAGCTAGGGAATCTGCAGAATTGTCAAAAAGGGGCAACAGGAAGGATTTTATCTCCCCAGCACAGAGCACAGCCGTTGGATGTGGTGTGTTACTAGATCAGTCCCCAGAATTGAGGACTTGGGGTGTAAACGGTCAGCTATCACCATCTTTTGTAATGAGTGATTGATAAATCAGTCCTCAAGAGGGAAGATATATCTACCAAGCACCTCATTGCCTACAACGTATCACAACATTCAGATACTGGCTATTTTAATGAGGTGTGCATAGATAAACAAATAAACAAGATTACTCATCTAAAATACAGAATAAAATAATACTCAGAGTACTTTTAAAGAATGCATTGGCTAAGGGACTCAGTGTGTTAAAAAGTAACAAATGTAGTGGTTGGGATAGATGCTTTTGCCATTACTAAGATTTTTTCTACCTTAAGGGAGTCCCATTAGAATAGTGTCTTTGGACCCAAATAAAGGAGAAGAAGGACTTCTCAGCGTTCTAGGGAGAGCTGCTTATGAATGGGGCCTTCTGGCTTGCTCCTGGCAGCCTTCTCCCTGTGGAAAACACACTTCTGATTTATTCCTTAGAGCTTTAAGTGCCAAGCCCCATGGGCAAATCCTGCAAGTACAAGGGTACCCATGTTTGTAAAACTGTACTTGTGGGTTACAAGGTTGGAAGGCACATTCCTTCCCTTCACCACATTTCTCGACTAGTCTTTATAAATAATAAAGCTAATATTTTTATTTCCTGCCTTACTTCTTCATATGACTTGAGGATAGAAGAAAGAAATTTTTATTTGGCTTTCTCACAAACCAGCAGACACTTGAGAGAATTAGAGAATATAGCTCAAAAGCTTTTCCTGAGAGTCAATGTTTTCTAAAAGTTTTCAAAAGAGACACACATTTTGGGGCCAGGATCTAAGGAAACAATGCTTTATTAACAGCCATCATATGGGCTTTTATGGGCATATGTTTCTAGTAGTGGAAACCTGTATCTCTTTTTATCTTAAACTAAGAGACAAAGTAATGACAGACTGCCCGTGACACAGCAGAATGAGGACATGGCCCTAGAGACGCAGCATCAGTACCTAAAATTCGCATTTTGTACTGTTTTTGTTCTATCCACATTACTGATAGAATTTTACCTGCATTTGTCTTGTCTTCTAGGGCTCAACAGTCCTTTGGAGAGTTTGAGAGTTACATAATGAGGCGTTACTCTTACCCCTAAAGGGAAAGATTTCAAGGTTTTTCCTATGATGGCGGAGTGACTCATTTTACTGGAGCTTCAAAAACACCAGACGATGTGATGCTTCCCACACAGTATATTTTTTGCTAAATGGGAAATTACCATACTGCCGAGGAAGGGTGAGTGGTAGAAAAGTCAGGCGATTCAAGTTTCAGAAAGGACTCTCCCACCAACTTTTGATGAGGGCTTAGTCTTTGGTTCTTTATCTATACTTCAGAGAACATTTAGCCTTAAGTAGATACTAGAGAGAGGTGATATAAAATGTGTTATGTTATCTTGCTTTTCCAGAGAGATATATAATTACTCAAATACAGAGTATAAATGCATGTATGTTAATGTGACCCTGGTGCCTTTATCAGCCAATGGAATATCACAAAACTATCTTGGTAGAGTTTTCAGATGACAGTAATTCTTCTGATGCTTTACGATGCCTCTGTTTATTCTATTACACACTCTTCTTACAGTTATAAACAGAATGACTAAAGAGATCAGCCCCACCCAGTCTTCCATAAGAGAGAGAGATAAACAGATGCCTTGGCATCTTTAGTTCAAGGATGCTGTGTGCCTGACATGTAAGCTTTTGATACATATTACATAAATATAGAGTTTGGGTTGGAAAATGTTGCATATAACTTGAGAGGGACATTTAATGTTTACCTTTAAATGCCATAATCACAATCAGCACATATGGCCACGAACAACAATCTCTTGACATTTCAAAGATCCCACTGACCAAACATTTTATGAAAGTGTTATTTCAAACTGACATCTTATGCCATCTTGAAGGGAGCATTCAGGTTAAAATGCTTATTCATGTCTACAAAGTCAAATGAGTTGTGGTGGTTCTAGAGCCAGGCTTTTGGATTAAGAGAAGTGACATATCATGATGGCCTTAATTCTTGTTCATTATACAGGAAACCCACAGGAGGCCTCTGCATCTGAGTAGAGATCTCAGAGGATGAAAGGCTCTGTTGTTCTCTAAGTCTACTTACCTGCACCAGAGCCATTGATATCAGAAACAGGAGGGTGGTGCACATTTTGTTAAATTTTCTGCCAAGTATGCCACCTATACCTCTAAACTGGAGTTAACTAGGGTGAAAAAGCAACAATTATAGAACTGGAGAGTCTACTAAACCCCTAGTTGTCACTGATTTCATTGGTTTGTAGTCTTATTTTAGCTTATATTTCTTGTTATTTACTCCATATAACATATGCATGAAACTAACTCATCTAGATAAGAAATTGTGTGTGAAATGAAGCCATGGTCTAAACAACCAGGAAATTCTTTCAGGGTTGTGCTACCATGGTTCCTTTGTTAATATTTGAATGAATTACTCAAAAATATCTTCCAATTTTTAAGGAAGGATCAAATGACAAAAGATTTGTTTTCTGTCTTCATTGAGACTTGATGTGGAAGAACAATCTCTCTCCATTGCATAGACCTCTGGTCCCTGGCCATTGTTCTTGATGCTTTCTCCACACATGAGGCCAAAGCAGAACAACCACTTTATCAGAGAGAATATTCCTGTTTCGATATCTCTCCTTCTGTGCCTATCTGGTAAATGTTGTCTGCATGCAACATCATAGTGATGTGGATTAGAAGCAGACAGCTCTTTCTGCAGCCCTGGCTACTGCCTAACAGAGGCATACACCTTAGCTGGTTTGCGCAGTTTCTTCAAATGCAAAAGAGAGACTAATATCTTCCTATTTTTTCCATTGCATAAGCTTTGGGCATTTGATAAGATTCTTATATGTAACAAGTTCTCAAAAAAGGAAAAGCTTGTAAGTGATCCCACGGAGTGACAAGGCTGATGACAGAGGCAATGAGGATGGCCATGCTTACGTCAGGTCCGTCACCTACCGTAACAGATGAGTGCATAGTACTTGGCTTTGTAGCTGAAACTTGCTGTGTAATATTGGCACCTTTCTTTCCTTAGATGGCAAGTAACACACTTCTTGCTCGGAGGAGAGTTTCCAATGCTAATTCTAGAGGGAAATGAAAATAAAGCTAAGCTGAAATTTTGAGATTGTATTTATCAAAATGTACTACTCCATGTAAAGTGACTAATTTACATATTGACATCAAACCCACTCTATTTTTTCTGTTGCCAATATCATTTAAAGTAGAGGGGAATCACAGTGTTTTGATGTAGCTTGATGTTTGATCCATTTTTGCCTGAATAGACACAAGCTTTGAAGGAGAAGCCCTCTGTGGTTTTCCTGAAATGAGAGAGCTATAGAACACTTGTAATGGGAGTGAGGTAGTGGTTATTTCATATCCATTAAGCGCTTCTGAAGTAGTTAGAAATCTCTGTGTGTGTGTGTCTCTCTCTGACTGTCTCCATCCCTTCCTCCCTCCTCCCCTCTCTTTTCCTCTCCCTCTCCTACTCCTAGTCAAAGCATACAAGACACTCTGGCAGCATTACCAAGAAAGGATGCCTCTTCTTCTCTATATCTGGAAAGGGACTTTACTAATGAGCAAATTGAAAATGAGAAGTTGCATTCTGTTTATCTTCTTAATTTTTCATCCTTTCAACAGGACTCATGGGCGTTTAGGAGCTCCAACTAGAGAGGATGCCTCCTCCATCCCACACAGGTCAAGCAACACTTTTCTCCCTCCATGTCCCCACACTCACATGCCCTCTATGTGGCCCTGGAATGGAGTGATTAGTTTTAAGAAATAATAGGCTACTGGATCTCTCATCCCACACTGCATCAGATTCCCCTTTTGGAATACTGGGTGGTGCTCTGCCAAAGGTCGGAGCTCTTCCCACCTTCAAAGCCTTTCTCTTATAGCTTTCTGAGATAGCCTTGAACATAAAACACAATGTCTAGAGATATTGTTGTCTCCAGAGAAGGAGGATTCCCAACTGAAAGGTTAAGTGTGTATCCAGGTGTGAAGAGAGGACTATGAAGATGAGGGTTTTTTTTTCTTTCCTCTTACATATTATATGCTTCAATTTTTGTGTGATTTTGGAAATGTAAAGAAGAGAGTTCCCAGTAAGGGCTCAGAGAACAACATACCTATGTTCAAATCTCAACTCCAGTAATATTGTATGTGGCATAGGGTTATTAAAATTAAGTTCAATTATAGGTGCAATTTGGTTATTTGGTTTACAGCAGAGCATCAACAATGTTAATCACTGTTTTTATTTCTATAGGCAGAGAGAAACCTTTTGGTCTTTATCCCACCCATCAACAGGACAATTAGACTGAACTTTAAGAACTAATAGAGGGATGGAAATGACTATAGCAAAGTGAGCCATAGTGAAGCTCACACTACAAGTGTAGAAACAGTGTGGCACATAGCCAGTGCTCAATAAATGTGCATTAATAAATAAATAAAAGTCCTGAATTAACTCCAGCCTTGTCAAGTATCTATAATTATATAAAGTTATTATTTATGTCACCATAAGAATTTCTCGTATTACTCTTTTCAAAATATGTAGGCTCATACTTTAGGTGTGTATGATTTTATATTGACATATAATTTTCTGAATTATTTGCCCTAACTTACAAGTAGATTTTATGACATTTCACTTCCAAAAACATTCTACATCTACTGAGGGTTATGATTCAATTTTACTCATTTATTTCTGTGTCTATCTACCAATACTATTTAGAATTGATCTAAATTACCTGTAGATGTTTCTTCTTCCAGGGTAACCTTCAAATTCATTGCTGGAATAAAACCTGAAATAAATGTACAAAATATTAAGTATTGTTTATTGAATTACAAAAAAATATTGTCACTAATATTAATAACTAACAAGGACAAAAACATGAATTTAATGAAACTATTAATACTTATATAGACGAATTATTGCTGTGCATAATTGTGTTGGAGCATTTATTGAAACTTACAGATGATCAGAGAAAGGTAAAACTGAGCTCAGTACTGTTTTCATGATCCCCTTATCTTATTCTGATTCATTAGGTATGAACCATGAAAACTGACCTATTTAAACTAATATTACACTTTTCCTTTTCCATTATAAATGCTTACTGGTTTCTCAGGACTATGCTATTTGTTTATGACTGAGGACACATTTTGATTTTATTCTACACACCCAGTAGTAGATAAACTTGCCATGCCAGGAAACTCATCTGAGCTAGATGAGCTGAACATATCATAGGCCACGTTAATTCACAGAGCTGCAGAACAAACCACAGGAGAGCAAACTTGCTACCTAACTGCCCAGGAGCAGGCTCCTTTATGTCTTAATACACGATGAAGTGGAAAATCCAGTTTAGTGACATAACTTGATTCCTCTGTGAATTTATCTGAATATCTCAAAGTAGCTGTCTCTTTTTTCCCCTCTCCCTCAAGAAGAGCATAATAGAGTGTGAAAAGTTTAGAGTAGACAAGGTTTGTTTTAATTCTCAGGAGGGCTTAGCCATCCAGGTATCCTCAGGGTCATTAACATGTTCCTTATAAAATGGAGACAGCACACTGCAATGCATTTCCAGTATAAAATTCATATCCAAATCCTGTGTGTGTCTGTTTTATTTATGTCTGTACTAATGTCACAGGACTCCAGTCTTCACTGTCCCTTCTCTTTCCCACATCCTTTCAAACAGTGTGTGAATTAACTGCTCAGTCTCGTTCCCCAATGGCCCCATGTAGCATTCCCAGGTTGTCAAAGCTCCCCCTCTAACACTGCAGCCTGTCCACCTTCCCACCTCTCTCTTCTCCCTCACAGATGATAACAATTATTCTATCCCATCTTTCCTAAACATCTACTCTTTCCTTTCATCCACTTAAAAGATAGGAACGGACCCCCTCCCATGTCAGCCTTGGTCCTGAGGACCAAAGGTGGCATAACCTTTTTCTTTCTAGTCTACAGTTCATTGTCATCATCCAGCTCCCTGAGCTCAGGTCTCAGTCACCCCTGGCCACCATTGCTACCACGGCAGGATCTCCAAGCCTTCATCATCCCCAAATCTATTATGCCTGAAATCTGTCTTCCATTCATTTTTATCTCCTCACTTTCCTGACTCTAGTCACTTTTATCGCTCCTCCATGTAAGGACCTTTGGCTTCCATTCAAGTGTTTCCATAGATTAGCAAAAGGTTCCTAACACTGTCTACATAGTTAGATTAGACTAGTTCTATTCCTTTGCTCCAAAATTCCATCTAATGACACTTGGACTATGAATATCAAGGAAATATCACTAATTTACACAGCATTAGAATTGACAGATGAAAAAAAAAAGCCAGGGCGGGGCAGTGATGGCACACGCCTTTAATCCCAGCACTTAGGAGGCAGAGACAGACAGATTTCTGAGTTTGAGGCCAGCCTGGTCTACAGAGTGAGTTCCAGGACAGCCAGGGCTATATAGAGAAACCCTGTCTTGAAAAACAAACAAACAAACAAACAAGAAAGAAAGAAAAAAAGAGCCAGGGACTTCCAATTCGTTAAATGCATCATAAGTGACTATTTCAAGACAGCTTTATGAGACCCTGTGTAGGACAGACTGAAAGAAAAGAACATAAAGAATTTCTGAGATTAACAGCAATCATCTTGGACTCATAAGCTTTAGGTCTACAGTCTCATCTTCCACTAATTCAATGGCCTTTAGCCAAATCAATTACATGCTCTGAATATCTGTTTTCTCATCTACAAACTCAGAGCAATCATTACTAACTTACAGTAATCCCTCAATACCTGACGGCTTTTACAGGTAACACCAAATCACTGCAAAAGGGTCTCAATTGGGCTACCTTCTATGTCTCTTTGAAGTGTGTTCACTGCTCTCAGTGTTGAAGAGTAAAAACAGCCTTCAGAATCAATTGCTGAGAATTTTTAGACTTTTCATAAAAGTCCCTAATAAAAAAACAATTCTATCCAAAAGGAAATCTTGCTGTTGAGTGACTAAAGAATATGCAGTCTTCATGAGATCATAGCTGTTTGAAAGTAACCAAAGAGCAACAGAATGTTCTTTCCATTAGCTGAGTAGACAGTACAGTCTATTATTTGTACATCCATTGGTTGGTGCCAATTAAAACCTAAATGGTACATCGTGCTGCATGCGGTACTTACAGTGAATCCTGTGTTACTCGGAATATATATATGGCCTCCCACTTGCCACTTGTAATTTGAATAGCATTTTCCTATAAAAAGACAAACATTATGTTGTGTGAAGCTGAGCGTCACTTGAGCAACCTCAAGTGAATGATCTTTGAGGAGAGAAATCTTGGAAGGAACGTACCACAGTGTCTTTGATGTAGTGAATATGTTTGTAACCATCCTTGTCGCTAAATATTTTGTAGTATGAAACGGCATCCTGGCTAAAAGCTGGTGTCGAAACAAAGAACTGAAAGAAATGAACAAAGGTTATATCTAAAAGACGAACTGAAAGCCACAGGTATTTTTGTAAGCCCTATATGCCTAAGAATCCTGGTGTGTCACCTCTCCTATCACCTGCCACCCACACCTGAAATTCCAGGTTTTCAAAGGACAGCTTTTCCAGTGATTCTAATAAACACTCAATGGTGCCGACTGGTGATCATTTGCTATCGCACACCTTCACTCCACCCCTGAAGCCCCAAGCTTTACGACGTCTAATTTAATAAATTTCTGTCTTAAAGAGATGTGGTTTGGAATTGTGTTGCAGGAATAACAAACAAATGTTGACATTTAATCAAAACAAATTCTAAGATGGGGGTATTTGATCAAAGAATAATTCTTTTAATAAAATAAATTATTTATTTATTTATTTATTTATTTATTATTTTTATGCACATTGGCCTTTTGCCTGCATGTATGTTTGTGTGAGGTGGTCAGTTCCCCTGGGACTGGTGTTACAGACAGTTGTGAGCAGCCATGTGTGTGCTGGGAATTAAAACCAGTCCTCAAAAAGAGCAGCCAGTTCTTTTAACTGCTGAACCATCTCTCCAGCCCCAGAAGTACTTTTGATTTTTGCGTTATCTAATGCTAAGCTCCTAATGTCAACAGCTTACTGAAGATATTTGAGTGATTCAAATATGATGGTCTAGAAGCCCCAGATTTTAATAGCACGCTTGAGAGGAGCAGTGAAGCATGGTTAGGGAGTAGGGAGATCTTAGCTCTGAGCTTGGGAAACAGAATGGCCTTGTAACCTGAGTTTGAGGAATTTGGAACATACTGCTGGGAACCATCTAAATGCATTCAGCTATCAGTCACTCAAGTGTTCTGGAACAGAACTAGTGGCAACTCAATATCCTAACTAGTACAGATGACTGAATTCTGAAAGTGTCTCATGCCAAATTTTCATCCATAGGGTAATATGTCTTCCATTGTTAAAAAAAAAAAAAGTCTTGCTCTGTGTTTATGGCTGTTCTTACAGGCTGTCCTCCGGTGATATGATGACACCTTCCTGAGCAAAATCTCATGAAAACAGAGCTCCTCTATAACATTCAGGAAAAACTTAAAACCTGGTATGTCTATCTGGTTTAAGTCCATGGAACAGTAGCCCAGCTGTTCAGTTATTTTACAACTGAAGAAAACAATAAGCATCCATACCCACCAGTGTCTTCTACCCTCAAACATTTGTCCTTTTTTAAATATATATCTTTTCTGAGATCAAATTCTGAGTAAACAGGTAGTAGGGAGAATTGCTATAGAATTATTTAATGGTCACATTTGGATGTGAACTGATGCTGGAAATTCTTCGATAAAATTGTTGCTCTTATAATCATACGTCATTGAAATGCAATGTATCTCTTATATTTTTACTGGGTAACTAATGTTTCTCCAAATTTATTGCCACCTGGATAGAAGCTTTACAGATGCTATTGTGATAAAAATGGAAGACATGGTCCTCCTAGATTAGTGTTAGCTCTAGATCCAAGGACTATAGTTCTAATAAGACAAAAGACAAGGCAACATGGAGAGACACAGGAAAGGATTCTGTATCCCGGACACTGCCTGATCCACAAATAATCTTTGCTCAAGTAAACTTGGCTAAATATAAATGTCTGGTGTATCTTTTAATACATTTGTAACAGAATGGAAAATTGAGTAAGGAGAGACTGCATATGTATCCATCAGCATCACTTGTCATAAGAGCTACTTCAGATCAGTTTGCATCTTGAGTCTAAGTATTGGAGATGCACTGCTCTAGTGCGGGCCTTTGACAAAGCTGCTTCTTCATTTCAGAAAGTTTTGCTCTCAAGCAAGGAATGGCAGCATTAGACAAGCAGCTTCCTTACTCCCTCATACTATATAGTGTGAGAAACATTTGGTTCTGCATGTTTTAGTCACACAAATGGAACCCAAGCCACAGACCACTTTAATGTAACATGGTGAAAAGTTATTCCTCTCTTCTCTCTCTGTGCGCAGACCCCTTTCTGTCTTTATCTCTCCCTCCCCTACCCCTTCTTTCCCCATGGTGTCTTCCCTGTCCTTGGTTGTTAGGGCCAGGGAACTCACCCACCTGAGAGCAGCTTCCCAGTAAGCCTGCCTTTAATAATAATAATAATAATGATAATAATAATAATAACAATAACAATAATAACAGTTATTTCTTACATACCTAATAAGTTAATTAAGGGAGTTTTAAAAAGATTGTATTCTGAGTAAAGCTTACAATTTTATTTGTTCTGAAAATAAAAAATTAACAGTACAGACTGTTCTCTTTTAAGATATTAGTACCAGGCAAACAGGAAGAATCTTTCTGCTGGGCAAAGGCTGTTATCTCCTCCCTTTCTTTGCGCACATGAAAGACAGTTGCTTCCGATGAGCAGGTAACTTAGGTCAGGTAAAGAGGGTGTGAAATATTTCCGCTCTCATGTTGTCAGAGCTAGGGTCATAATGCACTCTGAGTTAAGTGCTTCTTGCAGCAAGTCACACCTGGGCACTAGATAAGACATTCAACTGCGGTGACCTCAGTTGTAACAGGGCCCTGCCCTGGTTTCTTTATCATGCTTAGATTTTCCTGATAAATTGCTTATCTCTGAATGAAGTGCAAAGCCATTTAAAATAGCTTGCCTAGGAAGTAAGGCTGCTTCTCACAGTTTTGTATTTTAACATCCTCACTAAATGGCAAAAGATGATGCCTAAGCTGAGCTAACAATTAGACAAAAGTACAGGCTTTCAGACACCAAACCATAAAACTCGTGTTCTGTTTTTAACTAAGAGGTATTAGCCACAGGACAAAGAGGTATGGAACCAAGAGGTATGGTATTTTATTGCTTAAAAAGCTGGTGATAGTTTTGTTTTATCCGTAGTCTAAGCATTGTGATTTCAGAGCTTATTTCTAAATGTAAAGAGCTAAAATTTAGGTTCTTTTATTTTGTATATTATTTACAGGAAAATATTTCTGGTTAATTTCTTGTCTCTTTTGCAGTTTAAATATCTTGGATAAATTCTAAAGAAACCAATTTTTTGCGGTTTGTGGTCCCATGAGGAGAGCAACAATACCAACCAACCAGAGCTCCCAGGGTCTAAACCACCAGCCTGGGAGCACTTAGGGAGGGATTCATGGCTTCAGCTGTATATGTAAGGGTGGAGAGCCCTGCTGGGCATAGGTGGAAGAAGAGATCCTTGACCTCATGAAGGCTGGACGCCCCAGGAGGTGGGAATTTGAGGGTGGGGAGGTGGGAGTGGGGGGGGTAGGTAGGGGTTACATCCACAGAGAAGAAGGAGGAGGGGTAAGGGGATAGGGGGTTCCCGGATGGGTGGGGGATGAGGCAAGGGGACAACATATGAAATGTAAATAAAACATCCAATAAAAAAAACCCTACCATTTAATATTTACTATTATGACCAGCTTTTAAAATTTGTCTAAAGGTCCCAAAACTATTGACTGAACAAGGACTGGAAATGTAGCTTATGATAGGACACTTACCTAGGATGTGTGGCCCTTATTGATCCCAAGAACTACACACATGTGGGTGCACGCGTACACACACACACACACACACACACACAAACGTGTGCCCACACAATTACCTGAATGAGTTTATTAATCATATACATCTATCTATGTTTTCTTGGACCAATTTCATTGCTACTAGTTAGGAAAGATATCTATTAAAGCAGGTATCTTCAGAGGATGAAAATTATTCCCAAAAGTACTCACTATGAAGTATTGTCTATAATCTTTTTCTGGGATTTAGAAGTTTCATTGCTAAATACATTTCCAAAGATTAAAATTAATACCCACTTGTTCCTTTTTGTACATTGTGTCTAAAGCTCATCCCAGGAGCCATCCCGATACAGATGCTTGCATGATGTACTTTTGTGGCATGTGGCATTGTCTGGACAACATTCACCTATTCTACAACTTATTTTGTAATAATTAATGTAGGAGACAAAATATAATCAGTTTCCTTAAATGGTGGTTGTTTTTATATGAAACAAACCTCATATATCACTAAATAACTCTATCAAAAGATTCCAGACACAATTAATCACAAATCATAATAAAACACATTTCCCTGTTTGATACCGGGGCACGACATGTAGGGTGGAACACACACGCTGTGTAAAAGTCAGTTCACTGAACATGCTGGGTGCTCTCAAAGTAAAGAAAAAGATAGAAAAATCATACTCCACCAGCCCATCCTGTTCTGCTTTCTTCTACATGCTCCTGGTTCTACAAAGAAAGAAAGATCATATTAAAGGACAAAAAGAACAGTTTTTCAAAGGTATAATTTGGACATTTTTCAACAGTTAATCTGCCTGATCATGGTGTGCTTCAACTGAGGCCCTGGCTCAGGAGACTTTACTAAAGATTTTTGTTTGTTTGTTTGGTTGGTTTGGTTTGGTTTTTTTTTAAGGGCAGCGTGCTGAATCTGTATAGACAAATTGGTGATAAACCTAATTTCAAAAATTTTTCTTCCTTAGTTTTTCCATGTGACCACTTTCAGAATTATCACAAATGTGTGGAAATTCAGCCCCAATGAAGCACGTGATGTGATGCAGAGATGTTGGAATTCCATAGTGAAGTTGAGGTTCTGTTCTTTTGTCTTATGAAGTAGCCAGAAACCTAAACATTTGTATTCTTAGGATTTAGCAAGATGCAGAAGTATCACTTCTTATGTAAATATTTAGAAATCATGAAATGTAAATAGTACTTTTTCCTAGACAAATAAAGAACATTATGAGTTGACTTAGTAGGCATAGACTACTGTAGTAAGCTCAGTGGACAGAAAGGAAAGCACCACAGGGAATTTGGAAGAGGGAAGGCATCAGCAAGATCTTAGAGAAACCATGATGCCATCCAGGCATTTTGGTCTCTGAGTAAATTCAATGAAGGACTTCAGTTACCAAATATAGGAGACCTAATTGTAAGCATGAGAGACAATGTGTATTTGGTAGTCGCTAAAATGTCAGGAGGACAAAAACACCATTTAGAATTCCGTTTTTTAGGGAACACTGATAAAGACTCAGATCAAGGATAGAGTGGGGATAGAGTAAGGTGATATTGAACGCTCAGTTCAACAGAAATAAGTTTGAGAAATTTTCACAAACAGTTCTGGAAACATCTGCTATGAATAAAGATCACCTAGAGGGAGTTAAGTAGACAGTTGTGAATGAAACAGAAGTTATACTTTAGGACAGGATTGACTTTCTGTGGCTGAATCGTGTTTTCCTCATTCCCTCACAGTGGGACATAGTCATGTGGTAAGGTCTAGAATCAGAATGTGAACAGAGAAAGAAGCCATTTGTAGCCCTTCCCATAAAATCACTCACGCAGACCGCCCCCCCCCACATTCTTTCCTTCCTGCTCCAGTCGAATGTTAATGACTTAGAACTACACATTAAGATAACAGAAATGCCATTGGCTGGGTTTCTGAACTGCATTATGGAGCAGAATACCCACTCCACACCAGACCTCATTTTCTTGGATTTGCTATTGATTGTATAAATGAACCGTGAATCCCTACTATATATTAAGCCAATTAATCATTGGAATTTCCTCCTACAGCAGTGCTGTTGGCTTGCCTTGGAAATGTATTAACTAAAGAATAAAGATTCTATGTAGGTGGCCAAACAAGTAGCCCAAACAAGCGCAATAAAGATGACACCAATGGATATGCCAAAATAGATAGGGAAAAGCCCATGAGGCCTCACCCTTATATAAAGAACTCTAGGCAATTCGGGAAAGCTGGGAACTGGAATGGTGGTCTTCCCTAGAAAGGAGCACATCCATTGGTTGTTTAGTGACAAATAGCCATGGAAACATACAAACAAGTAACATTATGCAAGCTAACCAGGTTATATTGAGGAATATATATGTATATACATATGCATATACAGTAACAATTAAGAAAAGAAGAGGTCATGAATAGGAAGGGAAGTGGGGAGGCATATATGGAAGTGTTTGGAAGAAAGAGAGAGAAGGGAGAATTGTTGTAATGATATAATCTCAAGAAGAAAAAAATTTCTAGATGAATCAGACTTATCTAGAAAAGACCAGGAGCTATGGTAATGGATCTTTATCATATTGGGAAAGTGTTTGCCTTCAAGAATGATAACCTGAGTTCCAGCACCAAAGTTCACTTAAAAATGAGAGGCAGAAATGTTGGTATGTACTTGTAATCACAGCACTGTTCACTGAGGTGTTTTGTATGTTGCTTGCATACTAATCTAGCCTAAATGATGAACTCCAGGGTAATGAAAGACTCTGTCCAAAAGAGATGGTTAACATTCCCAAAGATTGTACTTGAGGTTGTCTTCTGGTTTCTATACTCCTGTCTGAACACACGTATGCATCAACATCCTCATAATCAAACACACACACACACACACTCACAAACACACACAAACACACACTCACAAACACACAAAGTCAAAACAAAATAAAGACCTTGAGACATGTATATTCTTCAAACACAATGGATCTTAAGAAGAGTTTGGAGTCCTTAAGAAGAGTTTCCTGAGTCCTATAGTGGTAGGCTAATGTCTAATAGAAAAAAAGATTTCAAGATGGAAAAAAAGTGAAACCTTTTGACAATCTTCAGTTATGAAGATAAAAATTATTTTAGAGAGGCAAGAATAACATATAAAATGGTTATTCACTATGCTATAAATTTCTTTTCTTTCTTTCTGTTTTGTTTTTTTATTATTGTTGTTTGGTGTTGTTTGTTTGATACAGCATTTTTTTTTCTGTCTTGTATAGCCTTGGTTGTCCTGGAATTCATTCTGTAGACCAGCTAACCTCAAACTCACAGACATGTGCCAGCCTCTGCCTTCTGAGTGTTGAGATTGAAGGTGAATACCAACATTGCACAGCAAGCTAGAAATTTCTTAATAAATCTCACCAATATTTTTATAGAATAAATAACTTTGCAAGCTTTCTTACTTCTTTCATGTCTGGCAACATGAATAAAATATTGATTGATTACCTCAAACATTACTTGTTTTCAGAACACAAACACATTAGTCATGAGTATGGCTGTTGGAAAATTGTAAGTTAATTCAGCCAAAATATTCTAAATGTAATTGCTTTTCTAGCTATAAAGGTCATTTTCCAGGAAATTCCATTCCTCATTGTGAAGACATTTTATATTTTCTGTCCATTTAGGTTACATTGTCTCAGATTTTGATGAATTAGAATTTCAGATTGCAAATGAAACAGTATTTTATTTCTCTGTATTCATACTTTCCAAGTTAATAATTTTAAAGCTGAGTTTATAATGCTTGGATTCCAGGGTGTTGAAGATATATCCAACTAAAAGCAGTCAATAAGATCAGTGAGTTCTAATTAACTAGTTTGAGATCAAGCTTTTCCAATGGTACTACTTAAAACTTATTTGCTTTGTTATAAACTCATAAGTAAAATAACCTCAGTGTCCTGCAAATTGCTTAAGTTTAATCAAGACTTTTTCTGACAGGATAATGACCTAAATGCATTTTCAGCCTAGGGAATGCTGCCTAGTATGGCTCCTATATATTTCCAAGCAGAATAAAACATTCTCCATATAAAATGAAATGTTCTAAATCTTAGATGGAATTTAATGACTTACTTTGATTGATCTAGAATTTAGCTTCATAAAATAAGTTAACACTACATTTGTTTTAGTAAAATATTTTTTTCATTATTAGAACTCTCTCTCAATGTACTCAGCAGTATTTTTTATTTAAAGAAACCATTTTTAATAAAAAAAAAACTTAGTATCTAAAATGAGTAGTTAAAGAGAGGCATACTTCAGTGACTCAGACTGGTGCAGTACCTATGGACTCATTAATTTCAGCAGATTATGTTTGAATTTGAACAAGGAAAACAACTGAAGCTCGATGATAAATTTGCATCTTGTTTTCAAGCTCTCCATCTTCAGATTAGTACAGTAGGGAGTGCTCTCCAAAGATCCCTGGAGGCAGCATAAGGTGAATGGAGATTAGATGGTTCCGTGCCCTACTCTCAAGAACATACCTTTGATTTTAAAATAGGCACTACTTCACTCACCTTCATTTTTTTTTCAATTTTGACAATTTTGTCCAATTTTCATTTTTCTCCAATTTTCTGTGAAACATCTGTTTTTGTGACAAACCCATTCTTTCTGTGTTTTATCTTGTTTCGCTTCTGTTGACGACTGCCCTGATGATCACCAGTGGCTAGATCACCATCCTAACATCACATTGGCTCATTTCATGTCTTTCTGTATTGAAAGTCAAAGCCATTCAAGAAAACAACTGCTCTGCTATATTTGATAAAAATGTTGCAATTGCTGTTAACACGCAGCAACATGGTTTTACATAGCAATCAGCAGTTGAATGCACCAAATCCTGCTTAACAAGTCAAACTGTGACCCATGAATGAGAGGCTCTTGGTGTATTTCCATTTTCAGAAATAGTTGCCAGCAGTTTTACCTTAGGACAATCCCATGCATGCCAGTCTTCCCTGAAATCACATATAGACAAGACTGAGACATTCTGCACTCTTTTTAGCCACTGCAAACATATTCGTTCGTTGGTCACCCATGTGAGCCAGCTGAAATAATAGTCACTGCCAACAAACCAAAACAGACAGTCTCAATCATCAGCTCATTACCACAGTTAAAGAATATCTTTATTTATAGTTTCTAAAAAAACAGTTGATACTATAGAGTATATATTTAGTAAATAAGAAAGGCAAATTTTCTCTGAGAATAGTATTTAAGAAGATCTGCTGGCTAAAATAAGTAAGAGGTTATTTATCTTAGAAAATTATTTGTACTTGAGCTTTCTCCCCATTTTTGAAAAACAAAATTAAGATGTAAGGGGGAAGCTATATATTTGTCTAAGAGGAATAAAAGTGTTACATTTTCTATGATGTGCCCATAATCCCCTCTCCTTTGTTTTAAACTTTCTCCTTGATGCAGAGAAGCCAAATATAGTGAAAAGTTCACTTTTGTTTCCAGGTGGATTTATGTGGAAGCCAAGTTTTAGCAGTTATCATGGTCAAGTGTTGAAATTATAATAATCAGATGATCTAAAAAGCTTTGATGATCTTTATAACATATCTAAGTGTCAATAAATGATATGATTATACTTGTCTGTGAATGAAAATTCATAGCCCAAAGTGCAGAGCTTTTAATTTTTCATGGAGCTAGAAGGAGCTGAGGAATCAAATCCTGATCTCATAATGTCATATCATAGTATATAAGCTCAGTGAAATTATTTAGCCATGTAGGTCTTTGTTTCTGTATCGATTTGAAATAATAGTGTACTGATTTGAATATGCAAACATGAGCTGAGTGTGCTTAACATGCCTCTTGACTGAAGTGTTGTTTCTATTACTTGCCACCTAAGGAAAATTATATTTTTTAAAAATGTATATTCAAGCTTCCATTAACCAGGTTGTTGTGAGCAATCATTTGACTCTGTCTAATTCTCCTTGGTCTAGATGGAGGAGAAAAGTCAAGCCCTCTGGGCTAAGCAGGTGAGGTTCTTAGATTTTTACCAAATTCAAACAGATATACACAGAGGATTGACTTAGGTCTGGAAGGTTGCTATAATCAAGGGCAATCAGACAGGCATATCTGAATTATACTAGAGAAGTGAGAACATTAATTCCAGCACTAAGGAGATAGCGGCAAGTAATTGCTTCAAGTTAAAGACCAGCTTGTGTACAAAGCAAGTTCCAGGACAGCCAGTACTCTGTTACACAGAGAAACCCTATCTCATACCAAACCCAAACCAACACACCCAGAAAAAAAAAAAAAAGAAAATTTTTTTGATTGTGTGTATATGCATTGGTTCTAGTATAGGTTTGTACACATGAGCCCAGTGCCAGCAGAGGCAAGAAGAGGACATCAGACCTCCTGGAGCTACCCTATGTGAGTAATGTGAATTAATCTCCAGTCTTCTTCAAGATCACCATAGTCCTAAAGACTGAGACATCTCTCTATCCCAAATGTTTCCTTTCTCTGTCTGTCGGTTTCTTGACATATAATCCTCCATCTAGATAATCAAAACAGACTATTTCAAAGTAAGATGATACTAATGTTTGAGAAGAGTTGCCTTGTCTGGTTTATAAAGTTCCAGGATGCACATAGATCCATGAAGCTTGGCTTGAGGCAAACTAGACTCACGCTAAAGACTTGCCAATCTGCACTTTGGTCCCAAGTTTACATTTCTACCTCCAAGGAAAACCCCAGAAAGCTTTAGATTCATCACCATGGTCATCTTTAAATGAGTCTTTAAATGAGTAACAGAGTATTTTAAAAACTAGTTCAAGAAACGTATTTGTGACTTTTAATTTGCATGCATCTTGCATGTTAATTTTCTGCTTTCTGGCATGTGTATCTTCAACTCACTAGAAATAAAGTCTAAACTATGATGTAGAAAGTTCAATATGTTGAAATTTGTTTAAAAATGAGAGAGGGATCTGAGATCACTGACCTCGAGGCTATCATCTCTGGAACTGGTACTTCCATAGGGCCCACATGGTGAGGGTAGGTAGTGTCAACAATAAAGACACGAACGACAGGATTCTTAGCTCCAGCCTGCCAAGAAAATGGAAATTTACAAGCTGATACAAATTTTACTGACCACCAATATTTTAAAGACACTTTAGGATTCAAGGCACATTTTAATTAGTTAGAAAAGCTAAATAAATAACAGTTGAAGATGTTCTACATAGTGGCCAGGAACTTCATTTCTATTTACTTGCACTGCAGTTACCAATGTTGTATCAATCAGAGTCAAATGCATTTCAGGTGTTTAACGAGAGACTTGATTTATAGGAGAAGTTATCAGGGATATGAAAATCCATGTCTACAGCCTATACTCTATCCTGATTTTCAAGACAGGTGTTTCATTATTGGTACAATGAGAATAACCATATACCTGTGTGCTCTAAAGGGTAATGGATCTGTTTGAGAGAGAACAAAAATCAGAACTAAACGAAACTTACCAATTGAGTAACCAAATTTCTTATCCTCCCTGTACCTCACAACCCACCACCATTGCTTCATTCCCAAAGAATGGGACAAATCTCACTGCCAAATAAGGCGTCCATGGGCTTTTACATTTTTTTCTTGGTTTGCCTTTCTTGGGCTACCACATACCTAAAATTTACATGACAGCACGCTTCATACCTAGACTCTGTCTTTGAATCGATGTTATTTTACTTCTGAAAGAATATTGCAGTTAAAATGCGAATCCACAGCATTTGAGAGCACAGTGTTTGGTGACTTAATTTTTCATTCATCTAAAGCAGTGTTTCTCAAACTCCCGAAGGCCATGACCCTTTATTTCATTTCCCTGTGTTATGGTAACCTCAACTCATAAAATTATTTTGGTTGCTGCTTCATAACTATAATTTTGTTGTGATTGTAATGAAAATATCTGTGTTTTCCAAAGGTCTTAGCCAACTCCTGTGAAAGAATCTTTCAACCACCCACCAAAGGGGTCGAGACCCACAGGTTGAGAATCCTGACCTAAAGTCTTTCTTGAGACTTTTTTGATTCTTTGGAATTTTCTCATCTCTCTACCTAGTGCTAGAGGTTTTAGTGTCCTCAGTCTGTTAAGAAACGTGAAGACTTAGGCACACACTTACAGACAAGTGGGAGTCACTTCTCAGTTCTGAGCGTCCTTATCTCTTCCTGTTCACATTGAGTCTTTAGAACATTCCGTTCTTTTAATTTTGGATTCCAAGTATCAGGCTTTTCACTTCCAAGCATCTCCAACTTTCCATTTTTCTACACCATCCTTGAGGGGACTTATATCTCAACATTTATTTTCTATCTCATTCCTTTTCTTAAGTGACTTTTAACATAAACATTATATTTCTATTTCTCTCTTTGGGGTGTCTTTGGCTTGTTTCAAAAGCCAATTTTGCAAATGCCACATCCATCTTATAGTATATAGGGACCTGCTGGAGTCATTCATGAGTAGGGTTTGAGAAATAAAAGCACTAAGAACTATGCATGTATTTTTTAAAATTCTAAAAAAATATCCAATTATTTTATAATAGGCAAATTCCTTTCCAAACTTTCCTATTTCATGCCTTTGTCTAGATTTAAAATAGGTCGCAGTGCTTTCTCCCTGTTACTCAGCCTTTCTGCTGCACACTCAGGCCCTTCTCCTCTAGCCTTGGAACTGAATAAAAAAATGTGTATGATGTTTACTTTCATTAATTGTCTTAAGAAGGAAATAGAGACTCAAAAACTTCACTTACCTATCTACAAGAGATCTTAACATGTGCCTGACACTACCTGACAAAGACATCAAATTCAATATTTGAATTTCCCTTTCTCGTTTGCATTTACAGGAGAATTCAAGAGAGAATTGTGAAACAGAACTTTTACCCTGAATTTGGAACATATATATATATATATATATATATATATATATATATATAATTATAACTAAGTTAAGCTTGTTTTTCCTCCATGATCTAGACCATATGTTTTTTTCAAAGATTCTGCAATAGATTTTGCAAAGATTACTTCTTCCAGCATAGCCAGATGTCCAAAGCAACAGATGTCCACATAAACAATAGAGCACAGTACAGTGTTTGCTTTATGACATACAAGGACAAGAAGCTTTCCAAATGTGTTGATCCCACCTCTATTCATGGTAATGATTGCTCATTTTGACATCAAAGAGATGAAGTCTTCTATTAAAAACATCTCACATACCTTCGGATATGGAATATTTATAGTTCTAGGATACTGTCCGTCACCATAATAAGAATAGGCAATAATCGGTATATCTGAATCATTAAATTCTACATATGCCAAGTATTTTCCATCTGGAGACCACCAAAGAGCATATTTTGTAGCAAGCATTTCCTCTGAAAAATAAGAATTTACATATTATTTATAATTATAGCTTATTCTTAAAATGATTGTTAATACATCTAAACAAATATTTATTAGCTTAAATCATGTTTTTAATGTGTATGTAACATATGCCATACTTTGGTTATTAAAAAAATACTGTAAATTAAGAGGAACAGTTTAAATTTCATTCTATATCAAATGTCAATTAGTCTTGTTAGTAATTGCTGTTATCCAGAAATGTAACATTTAAAATAAATAATAAACACATTGTTAATAATTAGTTTTCCCCTTAGAGCAATTTTAAAAATAACCTAAAGTAGCTCAAACAGACTCTACACTGTCTACAGCCATAGGTAGACAAAGCAGGCTATTAAGTAGACAGTACCTGAAGTAGACAAAGAAGGCTGTGAGTTTACTGGCAAGTGATATTACCAACAGAATTTGAGTTTCATTCCTGAGAATTTTTCGAACTAGGGTTAATGTGTGTGTGTGTGCTCTCCCACATGTGTGTGTACGTGTGTGTGTGTGTGTGTGTGTGTGTAAATACATTCACACATATATCTTTTTTAAAAAATGGACTCGAGGAATAGAGACTAGACAACCTCTTAAAGTCTAATTAAAGTCCCGTGTCCTTCCTGATCTAGAATACGGATAAAATTTAAGAGGGTGTTGATATAAAAAACTAAGAACATTTTCTTGCAAAATAATGAAGTTGTTTAGCCTGGGTTGGGGGAGGGGAAGATGTCTTACCTAATCAAAACAAACACTGGATAATGTATTAACTCAGTTAAGGACCATATAGTTCTTGGACTATAAATCTCCACTTTATAGTAACATTCATGAATATCGATTATACTGATCTCTGACAAGATTTTATTCTTTAAGATGAACCTCATTCTGTCCATAACCTAGTAATATAACCTATTTTCAGAAGGACAAACAGCTCATTAAAAGAATATTCTATTCAACTAATTTTTACTGAGTATGTGTAATTATTTTCAGTTACAAGCCTAATATAAGCCTAATATATAAGCAGTAGAAAAGAAACATAGCTTACCTTCATAAACCCAGTCTGGAATTCCATTAAATATTCTGTTTTCTCTTCCAGTGTAAGTTATTTGAATAGGTGGATCTCCTGGTCTTTGTTTCAAATAAATATTGTTTTGATAGACATATGCCTAAAAATGGTAGAAAATTACTCAGTAGGGGAAATTTCCCTAACAAATAGAGTAACAGTGCATATTTAATTATTTACCTACAGTCTTTTAAAGGGCTGGTAATTCAGATGCAAAAGGATTCACAACTAAAATAATTTAATAAGGTAAAAAATATAATTAACTCACATTAACATTAATTATGATTTTAAAATCTGAATCAAATAATTAATTTTTATCATGATATGGTTATTTTATTATCCAATAAGTAACTGTGCATATTGACAGGTAGTCAAATAAACCCCTGAATATTAATAGCTAGCCAGATCTAATCTTTATTTAGAGTCCTTAAATCAGAGCTTGGACAAAATTTCATGTTGTCTGAAGCTAGTCTGGGAAACTTGTGAAAACCATATTTTTCCTGAGTTCTCTGGCACAACGCATTCTGGCTGAGTATAAGGATAAAGTTTTTGACTGCGATATTTAAAGAAGTCTATCCATGAGCTTGAGATTTTGCGGAATTCTCAAACGGGTTTCAATTTATCCAAACTCTTCCCGTTTTTAGCCACTGAAATAGTCATGTTCTCTCTCTCTCTCTCTCTCTCTCTCTCTCTCTCTCTCTCTCTCTCT